CTCCTGGTGCGGGGTCGTTGCTCCCATGCCTCCCATGCCCTCGTGGTGCGCGGTCATTTCTCCCGTTGGCCCCATGCCTCCAATGCCCCCTGGGTGCGCGGTCTTTGCTTCCATGCCTCCCATGGCCTCCTGGTGTGGGGTCATATCTCCCGTTGCTCCCATGCCTTCCATAGTCCCTGGGTGCGCGGTCGTGGCTCCCATGCCTCCCATGGCCTCCTGGTGCGTGCTCATTTCTCCGGTTGCTCCCATGCCTCCCATGGCCTCCTGTTGTGGGGTCATTTCTCCCGTTGCTCCCGTGCCTCCCATGCCCTCCTGGTGCGCGGTTGTTGCTCCCGTTGGCCCCATGCCTTGAATGGCCCCTAAGTGCGCGGTCGGTGCTCCCATGCCTCCCATGGCCTCCTGGTGTGGGGTCATATCTCCCGTTGCTCCCATGCCTTCCATAGTCCCTGGGTGCGCGGTCGTGGCTCCCATGCCTCCCATGCCCTCCTGGTGCGCGGTTAGTTCTCCCGTTGGCCCCATGCCTTGAATGGCCCCTAAGTGCGCGGTCGGTGCTCCCATGCCTCCCATGGCCTCCTGGTGCGTGGCCGTTTCTCCGGTTGCTCCCACACCTTCCATGGCCCCTGGGTGCGTGCCTGTTGCTCCCATGCCTCCCATGGCCTCCTGGTGCGTGCTCATTTCTCCGGTTGTTCCCATGCCTCCCATGGCCTCCTGGTGTGGGGTCATTTCTCCCGTTGCTCCCGTGCCTCCCATGCCCTCCTGGTGCGCGGTTGTTGCTCCCGTTGGCCCCATGCCTTGAATGGCCCCTAAGTGCGCGGTCGGTGCTCCCATGCCTCCCATGTCCTCCTGGTGTGGGGTCATTTCTCCCGTTGGCCCCATGCCTTCCATGGCCCCTGGGTGCGTGCCTGTTGCTCCCATGCCTTCTATGCCCTCGTGGTGCGTGCTCATTTCTCCGGTTGCTCCCATGCCTCCCATGGCCCCTAAGTGCGCGGTCGGTGCTCCCATGCCTTCCGGGGCCTCCGGGTGCGTGCTCATTTCCCCCGTTGCTCCCATGCCTCCCATGGCCTCTGGGTGCTTGCCTGTTGCTTCCATACCTTCCACGGCCTCCTGGTGCGTGTCTGGTGCTTCCACACCTCCCATGCCCTCCTGGTGCGGGGTCGTTTCTCCCGTTGCTCCCATGCCTCCCATGCCCTCCTGGTGCGGGGTCGTTGCTCCCATGCCTCCAATGGCCCCTGGGTGCTTGCCTGTCGCGTTCATACCTCCCATGCCCTCCTGGTGCGGGGTCATTTCTCCCGTTGCTCCCATGCCTCCCATGGCCTCCTGGTGCGGGGTCGTTGCTCCCATGCCTCCCATGGCCTCCTGTTGTGGGGTCGTTTCTCCCGATGCTCCCATGCCTCCCATGCCCTCCTGGTGCGGGGTCGTTGCTCCCATGCCTCCAATGGCCCCTGGGTGCTTGCCTGTCGCGTTCATACCTCCCATGCCCTCCTGGTGCGGGGTCGTTTCTCCCGTTGCTCCCATGCCTCCCATGGCCTCCTGGTGCGGGGTCGTTGCTCCCATGCCCCCCATGCCCTCCTGGTTCGTACTCATTTCCCCCGTTGCTCCCATGCCTCCCATGCCCTCCTGGTGCGTGCCTGTTGCTCCCATGCCTCCCGTGCCCTCCTGGTGCATGCTCATTTCTCCCGTTGCTCCCATGCCTCCAATGGCCCCTGGGTGCGTGCCTGTTGCTTCCATGCCTCCCATGCCCTCCTGGTGCGTGGTCGTTTCTCCCGTTGGCCCCATGCCTGCCATGCCCTCCTGGTGCGCGCTCATTTCTCCCGTTGCTCCCATGCCTCCCATCACGCCTGTTCCTGACATCCCTCCTATATGGATAACCCCCGTTGTAAGTCCTCCCTGTTCGCCCATACCCATGCCGATTTCTGTATGCTGAAGATTAGGATATTCTGAATGCATGGATCTATCCTCTGCGGTGACCGCACTAGTAGAGTAAAACGGGCCTGGTTGTTCTTCCGGTGCTGGTTCCTCGGCCCCACCGTCTGCCTTAGTAGGGGGACCAGTCTCTGGAGACTTATCTTTGACGTAATCTGCCGCGTCATGCAAAGCCGAGGTAACAGCTGTAGCCTGAGCAGTCGCATGTGCGGCCTGTGGTGGCTTCGCGCCTTCATCTATCGCTGAGGCTCCTGTTGTGGATGTGGTTGTGGTCGAACTGGTGGGCATTTTACCGTAGCCTTCAGACAGGAGTTCGGATGCTGGGTATATAGACATTTCGCGTGGCTTCTCCGTGGTAATCTGCAGAAAGTTCTGTTGCCTGGGTACAAACTCTGCAGTAGCATTAGAAGAGGTGAACTCGGTCTGTCCATCTGCCCTTACCTTCTCCATCGATGCCTCATCCTCAGCCTTCTCTCGACGCAAATTCGCTGTCCAGATCTTCCGCTGGATGAGAGCAGCAGCACTGCGTACTTGAAGCCGAGATGCCCCCTCAGGCACAACAGAGGAGGCGTACAGGTCAAATTGAGGGGCGACTGAGGCCATTCTTGAACCGGAGTTTTTAATTATTTGCAACCCATTGTTCAGTTGCCATCTGGGCTTCTCCGACGTCTCTAAGGCGGGGGGATGTGTAAGCGCCTGAGAAGCATTATTCGCGGTACTCAAAGGAGACAAAGGCCTGCTGCGTTGTGGAGTAGTGGCTGCATTCCACATATCCACGGGACCCCCCTTAAATGCGGGGTATTGTGGTTCAGTTGATCCTAACTCAGAGGCATCATGACCGACGATGGGAAGAGTACTACTTGCGACGGGATCTCCAGGTGAATTGGTTTGTTCTAAATCTACATATGACACAGAGCCTACGGAGGGAGCCAGAACCCAACCGCTTCTGGGGGCAATGGAACCTGCGCCAATGCAGAGCACGAACTTGTTAGGCAATTATATAAGTATGAAAAATGCCCAAATATTACACCTCTGTTGGACGCATTCTACTAGATTCTACGTTGCTTGAGGAATAGTTGATTTATTCATTGGTCTATCTGACGAAGCCCTTCGAGTTGAGTGCAGCCGCAAAGCCCCAAACCTTTTGCAAGCAGTACACAATTTAGCGTTTATGACGTGTGTTACGCCTTTGTATTCGTTGTACTTACTCCGGGTCGCTCGCAAACCATTCTGGTAAGCCTGATGAAATTGGAATGCCACAACCCGCACTGAGGACCTCTCGACGAGAGCACATAAGGTAAGGCAGAAAATGGCCCACACACAACGGCGGATTTTGCCGGTGCGTCGCAGCAGCCGCTTCCAACCTGTGCCTCGCCGATGTACTACACAGTCGGCATTTGCTAGTGTGGGAGGTGGGGAATACACATTGGTGACAAACAGCGGGAAGAAGGAAGAGGCTTCTCTTTTCTTCGCCATGAGTCACCTAGAGGAAATTGAGAAGCATATGGGAAGAGCGGCTGCGGCTGCTCCATGACGTGGAGGGGGATCGGTCTCCGCGCCATTGACCCGCGGCATCCTGCGGCCATCTGCCGAGCTTCGACCTGAGTACGAAGCTCTAAAAGTATAGCAATTTAAATAAAAAATCAAAACAATGGAAGAACCGCAGTTTGACAGGACACGCGTGATCTGCGTGCATGCTGACCACCGGTACCCAGTTGACTCGTATACGGATCTATGTATGGACCAGCGGTGCTCTATCCCGTACTCTGGCAGAAATGAGCAAGAAAATGATGAGTCATGTATGCGCGTATTCTTTTGGATGCATAAAGGGGGAGCTATATAAAAGGTGTCTGGGCTCCTCACGTATTTTGGGGCCGAAATGTACTACACACGGCGGGCAGTCTGTCGCCCGAGTACAGCCTGGCCACTTAACTCAAGCACCCCTTCTTTGAGTCCATCGGAGGCACAAGTGGAGCCACAGTTAGGATACCCTACAAAGTGTCCAACATGGCTGCAGAATGGCTTGCGTTCCTTGCGTAACTGGCAGAATATTTCAACGGGTGTCCTCGATAGAAATTTAGTGAAGACAAACACAGACCAAGGAGCACTTGCGGAAAATGGGCTCTTAACACCAACAAAAATGTGCTATGTTCTACGTTGTGAAGTGAATGATAACCTACTACGTCGGCCTGCGAATCTTAGATCAAACACTCGCTCATATCCAAGCTGGCTCTTGCAACTGACCGCAAGATGCTGCATGACTCAGCCGCCAGTATCTCAAACCAAAGAAAAACCGCCATTCTCTGACCCATCGCTTCCTTGTGTATACCTATGGGGACTTATGCTAACCACTCTCACTCCGATGGGTCGGGTGTCACTAGCAAAGGGCGGAGCACCCGGCTCCCATTTCCAATCAAAATTTCAACCCCAGCCAAAGGTTAAAGGGTCTTTCTAAGCTTGCTTTCCAAACAACGTTATTAGAGTGGTTAGAAAGTACCCAAAACACGTTTCTCTAAGTCTCTGCTCCCCAAGTCACTACACTGTGAAGGACTAAGAGGAATCTAGGTAAGAGCAGTGCCCCATGATTTGTAAATGACAAAGGGCACGGAGAAGGGAGCTTTTTCCATGATAAAGCTCATAGAATGCTAAGAAGAGTTTCTCGCCGTTAGTTGTGGCCAGCTCTCTTGGTGCAGCTGTCCATGGTCTAAGTCAGTAGTCGCTCGTTCCCCCTTTGCCTGGTATCTTGTCACAGTTTCCTTTGACATAATATATCAGCAAAATGATAAAAGAAGCATTTGGTGCACACTAAAAAACTCGAGTATGAATGAGAATATGAACGGAATAACATCGCTGTGCCAACAGTCCGGATAACTTTGCAAGTTGGAGGCACCATATACAAATTGGTGGAGGCCAATGCAATTGCTGTCCTCCCTCCTGCCAAAGTTGATCAGCATTATAGTGCTGAGCGGCTCAAGAGTTTGCCTTGCAGAAAGCTGATTAAAAGGATCAGTTTGCCCTCAAAGGGTGGAAGTGCACATTTACGGGGAGCACGTATATCATAGATAAACAGAAAACCGCTAGGAGTAACGCTTATGAACAACGCCGTAGAATCTCACTCTATTCAAAAAAGTGTATGCGGTCCCAGCTTGATTTTCCTGCAAGAAGAACTGAGCGGACGAACACATGTGAAATTTGCTACCTGGAAGAGTTACCCGCCTCTCCTTCTGGACATCCTCAGGGGTAAGCAGCACAGAAAAGGCACAAGCCTCATCCACCACTCCGCAGAAATTTAGAGTGTTTTTGTTACAATAGACCTAGGCACAACAAATAGGCAGCTGCACAGATGAAAATTGTTCGGCAGTGGAAACTTGTTCGGCAGTGCAGGCTGTATCCCGTACTTGCAGTGGTATTTTCCGATATATGGAACACCACACCGTACAGTTGCTATCTAGTGGTCCCCCTCAGCCCATTATTAGAGGGATGATAGCATGTCCTCCAGTGCCAACATCAAATAAAGTGTGAGCCTCACTTTGACCAGCCTGGGTGCAGACACCGAGTCCCCATCGTCTTCGTCAGTTCGGAATCCCGCGGGTGCAGTGGAGGCCAGAACAGAAAATGCCGCTAGCTGTACACACATTTGAGGAGAACCCCACCCCTAAAGTGAAATAAGGCACTCACATAAAACCTGTACTTCACTATACGAGGTCGTGCGATGCTGCAGCTCTGGCCCCGTCTGTTAATTATGGCTCCACTGCAAAAGCGCACTTGTCTGGCGCCCCCAAAGACTCAGTTATTTCGGCTAAACGTTTACTTAGCGTGCTGAGCTTTTCTAATATTCGCAGTTAAAATATAACGGGACGAAAAGACTCGGGGAAAGGAAGAAGCTTGAGTCTCTATCAATCGGCGTCACCATAACAGCAAAAAAGCACCAGCAAGGGACATGGACAGTAGCAAGACTGGCTACATGCACAATGGCGAGTGCATGCCCTAAGGGACTCAACAGTCCCTCATACATCCATGTGACTTGAAACACTACTGAATATACCACGTGTCGGATGCGAATGAATAAAAGCTGGAATTCACTAACCCGAATGGGCTGTTTGAAACTGATGTTGAGAAGCAGCTGTTCATCTACGTCGGACACGAGCGCGAGGTTAGATTCCTTCATCCGTAGGATTTGATGCAATGTTGCAATTTCGGAGCCTTTTTTTGCTGACGCTCCTACTCCAAAGGGCAATACCGTAGATGGCCGACTGCAGGATGCGTTTCCAGCGACTTCACTCTTTTTAACATCCTCCCCCAGCGACCTTTCCTTTTCACAGTTTGCCTCTGCAGTTTCCTTCGACGTTTTATCCATGTTCGCTGTAGCAGGCTGCTCTCCATCCTTTGCCCCCTGCTGCTTGTTGGTGGCTGCACCTCCTATTGTTGCCGTTGAATCAGAAGCTGCTGCTGCTCCTGCTTCAGGTTCCTTTTCAAAAGCTGCTGGGGAAGTCGCAGATTCAGAGCGGCTGTGGAGGTGGAGGGAAGGTTGCCGAGCATTGAGGGCAAAGCAATCGCCTAAGTCTAGGGCCTCTCGAATATCTGAAAACTCCACTTGCTGGAGGCGTTCAAGAGATTCAAGTCCCATTATAGAGTTGGGTTAAGGGGGGCTGAACGTTGCGCAACACAAAGAGAGGAGGTTCTGATACTGTTCTGTACCATACTCTTGGCGTTGCTGCTGTAGCAAGCGGCAGAGAAGGGACCAGGAGAGCCCGGCCAAATGTGTGGGGTGAACCGACGGTGCTTCGGAAAAGAGGGGCCTTAGAGCTGAGCCAAATTATTGGAGAAAGGAATCCAAGCACATAATCGGGGAACATACCCGGAGGTGGCCTAAAAAGAACACCCGTGTGGGACAAAGCATACACGGGATGTGCTGATCTGCAGAAAAGCTTGGCTTCTGCTTACAATGGGGGATGACATGAAACACCTATTAAAGGAAAAGGAGGGATGAAGCCTTTTTCCTTCAGACCGACCGCAAAATCAAGCGCTGCTCTTACTGCTATGGCTACCGCAACGGGGGCGCCACACGAAGGAGAGCAGGAGGAAACAGGTAAGTGTGTAGGCTAAATATATTCATAAGTCTTTTGCTGTTATTGATTCTATTCAGTCCGAAACAGTTCGGTAGCAAGCTCTACAATGAGGAGCACAGCCAACATAAAAACTCGCAGACCAGGGACCAGGGAACCACCGCATGCAAATCAGCGTAAATGTGCCACCATGCGACTGACGTGGTCTCATTCGTTAGCAGTGATGATATATTGATCTCTTGGCAGCAAAAAGCCGTACCTTTGATGATATTCATGAGCTCTATACCATGGACCAGCCAGGCGGTCGGCAGAAACATCTTCGCGCCCAAACTTTGCAGCGGTGAAATTAAACAGCAAGGCATCATTATACTTGAAAGTATTAGTTTCACGGTGTCACTAAAATGATCGAGTCAATAATTTCTTCCAAAAAAAGGAAGACGAGACGTCGGTGGATGGTGTAAGCAAAATCATTTAGGAATCGGGTAACAAGCACATCCAAAATGCACATACAAACACAGCTAAAGGGCACCATTGTCTGCTATTCAGAACTACTATCATCCCCAGCGTGTTTGCTTTTCCCAAATTTGTACAACATTGTCCAGATTCCATGGAAAATTTGAAAAATCTCAGTGCTTTGTTATTTCTCCTGTCATAACAAGCTTCCCGTTGACTCTGGCAGAGACATGACTTTCAACACTACCGTGGAAGCAGGGCTACACCGAATGCAGCAACCCCGTTTTGTGTGCTCCAACAGTCTAGCACCGATAGATCGTACCAGAAACACGTTACCCGCAGTGGGCTATAGTACACTTCTGCCCTTTCCACTGCACTCGTAGTGCTTTATTAAAAGCTTACATAAAATATTAGGCTTGTCTGGCTCTTTGCATAGCTTACTGGTTGTTCACTAGCTGAAACATATGCATTTAAGACCTCCGTAGGGATCTGCGTAATTGCAGACTCAATACAAACCTGATGAGCAGTAGTCGAGTGCTTTTCAACAGATCTTCCTCCCCTGTCTATAACTCTGATAGCTCCCGGCATGAGAGGATAGCGGCAGCAAGGCGTGCGCACGTGGATGCTTTAAGCACTCCGAGCACTCACAGATACTTGCATATAGTATTGAGCGCCCACACAAGCAATGCGCATTGTTGTGTCCAGTTTCAATTTGACGCTGCTCTGCAACAATGAATATGTACGAACATACAAAGCCATTGGCAAATTTCAAAATAGGTTTTGGTTAAATATAACTAGTGTATTAAAAGGTGTCCGAGTGTTACTTGGCCCGCAATAGTGGTGTTGGCTTGAAACAGTACGACACAATGTTGTGTGTAGGCACTAAATGCTGTGCGACTAGTTTTGAATTCTCAGAGTGCATGTTTGTAAAGGGTGCATCGACGTGAACCCTAGCTGCGTACCTCTTCTTTTGTCGAACCCAGAGGGGTGAGGGGAAGGAGGAAACGCTTTTGGTAGTATAGAAAAATGTCAGATTAAGCTACATTTAGTCTGGAGCCGAGCGTCTTCCTATGGAAACATAAAATAGAGAAGCTGTACCCTCAATCGCCGAGCACTTATTGTAGCGTACCTCCACCATACAAAACGTCAAAATATACTTGTGCCGCGTATCTATTGCCCATTTGAAATCAATTTGCATGGAATCAAACCTGAATCTAAATCATTGACTTTTCCCGTGTTTTGTATAACGGGTAATGCAGCGTGCACGCAGTGTCTGGTGTAATAATTATACTTTTAGGCTTTAGTTAAATGCTGATTGCATGGCTTAATTCTGTTTGTACTTTGTTTATTGCAGAGCAGTGTGAACTAGGTTACATATTACCGTATAGATGGCACCCAACTTAGGGTGTGCATGAGTGCACGTCTCCCCAGCTTCAATACAGTACTCGGTTAAAAGTTACTGAGTGTCCTTTTTTAATAATGACCCTCATCCATGCCTCGAACCCTAGGGTTCTGGCGTGAGGTTAGAGGGAGAACTGGGGGCCGCTCTTTTGCACCCTCTGCGCACTACGATTACTCACAGCTAGTTGGGCATTGCACCTAGCTTACAGGCACACGACGTTGATTCTTATTAATTTGGATGGACACTGCTCTGCAGCAGCTATGTGAGTTCAACCTGTGAAGTATACGGGTGCTGAACTGTAGCTAAGCCATTACAGTATGTTGGGTACCTACGCTCGAAGCTGGCATGTGCAAATACTCCACGGAAAATAGAGAACAGCAACATACAGGCCAGGTTTCCCCTCTTACCTGATGTGGGAATTCTGTGGGATGAGGTAGTTGGGGGCTGAAAAGAAAACTCATTTTCTCAACTGCACTATAAAATTTCCCCCTCCTAGATTTTGAAGAGAGGCTAAGAAACTTCCTGAGAAAGACAGATGTAAAACGCTACACAGAAGCTGCTACGTTGCCTTGGCTCATTTTGTATGAGGGTTGTGCATGAAGCCTGCAGATGTTCTGCCTCTGGGGGTGTCGGAGGGTGGCAGCTGCTTTTTATAAAACCAACGGCTGAGGGCCACTAATGCTTTCTAAAGTCATGATTTATGCATCTAGTTTTCTTGGACAGTCGAGTACTCTGCTCTTTCCCAACAGGCTTTAAAATGCCCCAGAGTTGCACAAGTGCCCGACATTGTTGTAGCATGCTGCAGTGGCAAAATATTCGGCATGCAGCACATCGAATAATAACGTAAACATTTTGCGTGGCCTCATTAGAATCCGCTCTTTAATGCATTCCGATGACTCACGAAGCACATGCAAATAAGAGCCTTCTAATAACAGATTCGTGTCCAGTGCATTTATATTCTATCACGATTACCAGGTTTACAGTGACTGCTGCAAACATTTGGTAGTCTCAACTCCCCTCTATATAGCTATTAGTCGCTTCTGCGGTGCATGGTTGACTTGTACTTCAGCAATTGCCAAATTCAGACTCCCTATACCAGAATCTACTGAGAGTCTTGAAGTGCTTTCTCATGTTCGTTACGTGGATTTGCCGCACATGTTAATTTACGTTGGGCTTCCCCATTTTTCCTCCGGGGTAATCTGCAAACTCTGTCCATGTTAATTTCAAAATGAGGAACTCCTCGAGCTCTTGAATTGAAAGTGGCACCCCAGCAGCAAAATAGCTACAGGAGTTGTACACCTTGAAGCATCTGGTACTTTGTCCTCTAAACACTGGATCACCATTTTTTCCTCTAGGAGGTGGATATTTTAGCTGAAAGCACAGGCAACAAGCGAGAAGAACCGAAAGCAGCACGAACATAGAGAAGAAAATTTATAATAGGTTTAAAAAGAGCAATTGGTAATACATATTTCTTTGTTAGTGGCATATTTTCAATGCCAGGCACAACGACATCGCCCCTGAGAGAAGTATGCCCGAGACAGTTTAAATGTGAATTTTCCCACAATGGACATGAGCATTCAAATATTTTTCTGTACCTCTATATTGAGGGAACTACCTGTGCTTATTAATCCCTTGTTAAGTTTTTTGTATTGGCGAATACAGGTGCTATCTTCGCCCGTTCCTTGTGTTGCTCCGTCACGATTTCCTGAGTGCTCTCCCTTCTCTGCTTCTGCTGTATCTCCCATCTTTTTCTTAGATGCGGTGCCACTATCTAGCTGGTATGCTAAGCAGCAGTATCCCAGCGCAGGAGAGTGCATATTTCACTGTCTATCCTGCTCCCCCCCTGAAAGCTTTATACGCAGACCCTAATCCCAAAAATCTCATCAAAGTCACAAAGAATGGTTTTATGCCTTTGTTACCGTAAGGACCTGGGCTCGTTCGCGCGTATTTTACAGAGTTTAGGCTTTAGTGAGGCAGCAGAGGCGGGGTGTGAGTATTTGCACCCTCTGATGTGGCCGGGTGTTTGTGCATTGTCACGAGGCCAAGGCACGGCGCTTGCATTCTTGAATTAGAAGACTGATATCGCTAAGAAAAGCGTGGATGAGAACAGCCAAACCACAACGTAAAAATTCTATTTTTCTTCACTAGCTAAACTACTATGGTGCTAATGCCAACGCGGAACTTGCGTGCTGCACTCTAAAACCTTCTACCAAGTTATACCGTAGGGATCCATGTCCTACAGATTGTTATTAATGCCCTGTTTTGGGGCATACGGAAGAAGGAGCTTTGTCACGTTTTTTCGTTGTCGCTGGCCCCCACTCCCGGTCCGCAGCGCCCCCCAAACAAGCGCCGACAGATTTATTCTACTGCTTTGGTCTACGGAGTCCGCGAGCTTCACTCTATGCATTTATCTAGCTTTGAGATTAGTTCACTTACATATTAGCAGGCACTGTAGATACAATTTTCCTTCTGAGCATGTGCATATGTTCCAACCACTGGTGAGGCCGTAGCGCCGGAGCGTGCAGGCTGACACAAGGCATACTATCGGGCAACTAAGCGCAAAGAAGAGGCAACAAGAAAGATATGATTCAGAGACCAAAAAATACAGAGCCATCTAGACACAGTAGTCGTAAACTTCGGCGGTGGACAAGTGCTCGAAAAGACCGCTGGACCTACATCTTCACACTATCGGCCCCAGTCCTCATGGAGCCGTTCACATTGTCCCACATTGAGGGCCTGAGTAATGAATTTGTACATAATGACTGAATTTTACCACGTTTTCAAAAACCTTCGGTGCAGATTACTTCAGCACGAATTACTAGAGGCAAGGCACAGACGCCAGCGGCCGCTGACGACTGCTGTGTGGCAGTTGCTTATGGGCCTAAGTGGGAGAATGGAAAGGTCCACTTCTGTCGTTGAGGCTACGTTTGCTTCTCGCATGACCTTCTAATCATATCGACTGTATTGGGCCTGTTGAAGTGTTGTCTTAGGCCATTTTCGGCCTTTCTGCCGCCTGCTGCTCCAGCGGTCGAAAACGAGGCCCTACAGAAGACCCCGATAAAAGAAGCCCCTGCAGACTGTGTGCCTGGCTTCTCCCTCTTTTTAAATTCGCGTCCTTGCTAGGGTGCTTGCAGTTCGCCGCATTCAGTACTGCTAGGTGATATTCCGTGGAATTCCAGGCATAGGTATCGGGATCTCCACTAGTCCTGTTTGATTACGTGTGCCTTAGACATTACGATGACTCGGGACAACTTTTCCTTGTCCTAGGAGTGAAACGCAATGCTCTTGCATGCTCTTTCACAAACCAATGGAGGGAGTGGGGTCCCCCGTGGGGGGTTCCTTGTTTCCCACTGCGAACAGGCGACTGCGACGCAAACTCGCCTTTCCATTAAGGGCTCCCCGCTTCCATCGAGGCTTTTGCCTCTCGCTTCTCACAGAGGATGGAAGCGAGTGATGAGGCAACTTGTATGCTGCGCGCTGCTTGGAGTCCTTGCCTGGGTGGGGCAGGCACACTGCCAGGCGCGAGACACGTGGCCTTCGCGACACAACGGAGTGGGATTCTCTTTGCTTCAACTCACATCATTGAAAAAGTCAACTGAGCCAAATGCGGAAGTGGAGGAGGCGCGAGGAGCTGTGAAGGGTGGTGGTGATGGCAAACCCACTGTGGCTGGTTCGGTTGTTGATCCCTTCTCCGCAGCGCAGGTTTTGAGCACCGACAGCTTTAAGAAGCAGCTTCTCGCAAAAGTTCACCTTCATAGAACCCCGGATGAGGCTGCAGACGGAACAAAGCCAACAGATACAACGCCGTCTCTGCTAGAAGAGCAAAACCAGGTGAAAGAGGCAACGCAGCGTAGCGCGGCAACTGGCTTTCCGAAGGCCGGTGCATGGCTTCAGTTAAAGAGAGTAAACGCAGAAGGGGAGTCAGAAGCATCGAATGATAGACATAGAGAAATCGAGAAAGACGAGGCAGTTGGCGAGGTGACAGACAAAGCAGACGACACAAACGAAGATACAACGGAGCTAAAACTGCCAGCTAACTTTCATTTTCCTCGTATTCAGCAACACTTGCCAGTACTGGCTGAATTTTTTGAAAATACTCAGGACCTCGATGATGACGAGGTGCTGGATAATAAAAATGATATGCGCGTAGGAAATAAACTTCGAAATGTGGCTGAAAAGAATGAAGGAGCACTCAAGAGTGAATCCCGGACAGCAGCCATGGAGGCACCTGCAACTTCCTTAGTGGAATCCACTTCTACTACAGCAGGAAAAGCTGACGGAGAGACAGCCAAGGAGAGTAAGAGCGAGGAAGATGAAGCGGAAGAGGAGGAGGGCAGCGAAGCAGAGCCACAATCCAGTGAAGAACCCAAAACAGGAAAACCGGAGTCCAGGCAGGAAGGAAATAGTACAAAAGCAAGCGGCGCCGAAGAAAGCCAAAATAACAAGAGCTCTCAGGAGGCAGCTGGTAGCAGCAAAGAGGCTGCGGAAGGAACAGCCAAAGAAGAGGAAAGCAGCAAGGCTTCTGCAGAGCAAAAGGACTCGCAGGAGGCAGCTGGTAGCAGCAAAGAGGCTGCGGAAGGAACAGCCAAAGAAGAGGAAAGCAGCAAGGCTTCTGCAGAACAAAAGGATTCGCAGGAGTCAGCTGGTAGCAGCAAAGAGGCTGCGGAAGGAACAGCCAAAGATGAGGAAAGCAGCAAGGCTTCTGCAGAGCATGATTCTTTGCATGGCACTAGCGTGCGTGAAGAAGCTCCTTTCCCCAAGGAGAATAGAGGATCCCACAATGAGGGTTCCATTTCATCACACAACGACGCCTCCGCAACGGAAAAGGAGGACAAAACGCCAAACAAAAGCAATAATTCAGCGCAAGGAGCAGAGACAAAGGCGGAAGAGGATGTGCATAGTGCAACGGAGAGCAAGGTTTCGAACGGCAAAATAGCAGCAGAGGCAAAGCGTGCTGACGAACAGCAGAGTAGACATGATGCCACAGCAAAGGCAACAAAAGCTGTCACTGCACCACCCGAGAAGACAGAAAAGGAAAAGGAAGAGGAGCAGCACGTACACAACAAGGAGGTGGCAGAAAAGGCCACGAAATTGGCAAACATGCAGCGAATGGAGGTACGAGCTATTCAAGTTTAACATACTGCAGTGGGTGCTGCAGTATTTAATCACTTTAGATGTTGTTTTTGGTAATCGTAAACTCCCCAGAGTACGCTGTTTGATTTGACGCGTTTGCTTCTCCTTCTGGCTACGAATAGCTGGACGCATTTTGTTGCAACTAATTCTTGTGCTCTCACTGCTTAAGGCATCTGTGGTTAATCTGTTTGTTTGTACATTAGCAAGAAGCCCTACTGAAGCTGCACATGTTGGGAGAAGGCGGCCCACGGAAGAGCGTCCAGCTTCCTTCTGGCACTTCATCGATGAGCGTGCAGGACGAGGAGCAGCACAGGCAGCTGGAGAAAGCAACCAAGACGGCTCAAAGCCTTACAATGCATCTGCGTGTGCAGCGCGAATTGAAACAAAGGGAAATGGCCATAAAGCAGAAGGAGATTGCGCACCTAAATCTCCTAAAACACATCCAGGTTCTTATGCAGTCCGCCGTATCCAGTGCCTGGAACAAGCTCACAGACGTAAGAACAACATACACACACATTTGCGCTAGGAAAAACACATGGAGGGCTGTTAGGTGGAATTCTGAAGCACAGAATCACAATGTTGCATCTTTTGTCGCTGGGAGGTGGGCATCCCCTGGGCTCAGGACAGTTGATGACGCTCGAGGGAATGCGTTTTCTGTTCCGGTCATGCTTTGTTACCTTCTTCAAGCGTTTCCATCGTTGTTTGTGGTGGTTCAAAGGCGCGGACGTTTAATTTGTAGCCTTGGCTTGCCTTCCCAGCTTGCCTCCTCGCATCGGGCCCTTCCGGTTTATGTTTTTACAGATTCAAAATACCTTGAAGCAGCTGGCGCTTGAAAGTGCATTGGTAAATAAACAGTTCCTCAAAGAAACGGACAACCGAGTATTGCGCCCTCAGGAGCTTCCTCTGGCAGTGTCCGGTGAAGAAAGAAAGACCCAGGGAAGCCTTGCGAAGAAAACTGGGATCTCTGCCCTTGATTGCCCTGTTGGTGAGACCTTCAATATCTCTTAATCCATTGAAATAAAGTTTATTAACTCCCATTCATATATCCGAGTAATCGAATACCTCTTAGGCTCCCTGAACTGTCTTTAAGGCGAGGGCGTTTACGCCGTTCCTTCTGTCATATGGGTGATAAAGGCTCCAAGTTACTAGAGTATATGCTCGCGAGAATCGATGCAAGTTGAGTGCAGATCAGAACCTAGCGAAATTCAGCACCAAGCATTGCTTGTGTCGCCACAGAGTGTGCACCAAAGACCTGCGACAACAAACCCACCTTTCCCACGCATTGCTTCGTAAGCTGGAGAGCTCTATAAGCCCTACTTAGGGAAGTGTGAGCTTTTAGAGCAGCGTCATCAAGAGCAACTTACCCTTTCCGTCGCCCTCCTGTATATCATGCTGACTTATGCTGCATGCCTGAGTGGCTCAGCGATATGATCTGGTGGCTGGTGGCGGAGGCTTTAGGACTTGTGCGCCGTTCCTCGATGACAGGACTGCAACCTGCCCAGATGTTGGTACCCCCACAAAAGGCACTCAGAAACGAATCTGTGCTACCTGGTCATCCTGTTTGGCCTAAGAGGAGGCAGTGGTGACAAAAGGGGAAGGAGTCTCCAGATAAAGGGTAGCCTTGAAGCAAAATAAAGCAGCAAATCGATGGGTACAAGCAGAGACAACGCACAATTGAATAGGTAGAATGATCCCGAAATGTACAGCGCATTAGAGCGCTGTCGCCTTAATCTGTGAACTAAAGTTGTGTCTCCTGCCTCTGCACTGCTAAGGGTTATACGCGCTGCGCAATGGCGGCTCCCGTACGCGGACGAAAATATGAGCTCTTAAATTCAGTGAGCACTCAATAAAATTATCCCAGCCAAAATTACTGGATCACAGCTCCTAGAAGTGGCGTTAACACTATTAAGAATGAAGACCTTTGTGTTCCACTGGTTTTGTGTCTTGCATGTTTGACTCGCAGCCAGCAAACGACCCTCTTCCACAAGCGCTATTCATTAAAGGGAACAATATGCACAGCTGTCTTAAACTTATGGCTGTACACAGGAAAACAGAGTGCAGGTAAAAGACACAGATGGCAGCCAGATTTGAAATGTGCCACGAGCAGTCATGGAAGCGCAAATGAGGTGCATGGGCAAATTCGTCTGGGGGTCGCTCTGTTCTCTCTTCACATTCGTGATTACACCCCAAGCACGCTCGACTGATCTCGTTTTTCTAATCCAATGACGTAGTCTGCCTCTTATTTCGCCAATCATTTTTCATTGAAATGCTTCTTTTTGTTGCATTGTTCCCTGCAAGTAATCGTTTGCACAGTCGAGCAGTCTACACAACAGTGGGCGTATTTGTTTATTCGCAGCCCTGCAGATGCACAGTCGGTCTTATCCGCAGTGAAGGATTCTCAGAATGCGGAAAATTCACCACCCCCCCGAGTTCTGGAGAATGGGGTTATCTTCGAGAACATTCAAGTACGGGATTGTACAGTAAACAAGTGCAAAATATGATTTACATGAGCATGTGGATGAATATTTGTGCTTAGAGCGATAGATAATAGTGAATATTATGTGTACTTTATGAACGCGTCAAGGGAAAAAGCCCCCTGCAAATCCATGAAGATAACGCCGAGCCTGTTATGGCTACAATTAAGCTCCATCACTTTTGCCTCCTTTGCATTCCACTAGTTTTACTTTCCCTCACCCCTTGGATGTATGATCGCCACGTACGGTAAAACTCTGCTCGTTGTGCTCCGTGCTATGGTTTCAGATTCGCTCACCGGGGGAATATAAGTTATGCATGCTGCAGTATTGGATTCCCCCAAGAAGTCCCAAGGGGGAAGTCATCGTCCTGGGTGTTGATGAAATTGGAACAGTTTTAGTCCAAGATATAACTCATGTGCAGAAGCAAATAAGCCAAAAGGAGGCAGAGGCTGCTGCTGCTGCTGCCCAACGAGAAGCAGCAGAAGTCAGTAGGGAGGTTAGACCTCTCCCCGTACCAATCCCCTCCCAAGAAGACGAAAACAATGAAGGCGAAGGTAACGGAACGGAAGAGGCCAAAACGACCCTTAAGAATGAGACAAATGCAGGTGCAAGTGTAAACCCTCATCTTGCTGGAGAGAGGGGGAAGAACGACGAAATACGTGAACAGGGAGATAAAAACGAAGCGGAAGAGAATTTGTCACACCGAGAAGCAGGACATCGCCCAGGAACATCTGACACATGAAATGACCTATCGGCAAAAACTTGGGTACAGAGCAAAGAATCACAGAAGGTGCCGCAGCCAGAAACGTACGATAAGAGGTCCAGATTCTCATATGGGCAAAGTGGAGGCCCTCTTGTTATGGGATGTTCTGGAACGTACATGGCGGGGTCCAGGCTTGGCGATTTGTTTTTACAAAGCGGACAGCCAGCAAGGCGCTTAGCAAGCAGAGGACGCTCCAGCTTAGCTGGTTTCCCAATAGGAATCGATACACATTTTGCTGAATCTTTATGTTCTATTTCACCACTCCCATATGCTTGGGTACACACGATATGGCGTAGGAAGACGCTCCCAGTATTCTCGGCTTATGTGCGAGGAAGTAGTCGAAGGGGGGGAGAAGGGAGAGGCCTTGTGGGTTGTATTGCCATCTGGAGCCCCCTGACTGTACTCTCAAAGTGTATAACTTTTGCAACGAAGGGCGAACCCAACGGCTCGTAGAGTGGTGTACACCGGGGTGCATGTGCATGCACACCTGCGCTATGGCTGCCAACGCTGCCGCCTGTTCGGGCCGCATGCCGCGCGAAGCAGCAAATCAGGCAGCGATTCGGACTAGTAGTTCTTTGTCTTGTAACGGGGGGAAGGGTGTACACAGAGGACAGATGCGACCCAGGGGAGTGCCCGCAGGATCGTATTTCAAGATGTCCAGTTGCTTCCCGCATACGTGCAAAGTGTGCCGGGGTTCCGTGTGTGCATGGCGGGCAACAGGCGCCTCCACCGGAGAGCAGGACCTAGACAGCGCAATTTATCAATGAGATGGCCTTCGTGGCCGGGGCAGGGGAGGGTGACAGGGCATGAGGAGAAAGAAAAGAGATGACAGGAGAGACCCTTGCTATCTGATGAGGAGATACGGGTACGAATTACGTAGTAGAGACACCCGGTTTTGCTTATACAGATATGGCGCCGCCTCTCTTCAAGACGTCTCTCAAAAAACGCCAAAAACACTTCGCTGCCACTCGACTATCTCCTGCCGTAGGAGTCCTAGAGGGCCTGCAGCGGTTTCTCTACAGGGGACTACGGCCCTCCCCAAGACCGCTGTGCCCCTTGGTGTGCTGGAAGACCATACACGGTTTCTTCCTTTTCCCAGGCATGGCAAGCCGCACATGGCAGGTAGAGTAGCTAGGACACTTGGTAGCATACGGCTTTTGGCCGTGAAAGTGTGAGTAGGGCCTCAAAACCCGCAACTGCAGCCCCCAGCCTCCTGTTACGGGCGTTATGGGTAGAGCCTCCCATCATTTTACTTTGACTGGCTTTGAGGACTTTGCGTATCTGCGACGTCCTTGGAAAAAGAGGCATCCTCCGACAAGGGTGCTTGCCCCTCCGAGGGCTCCCCCTCGGTGTTGGGTTGCGTCTGCGGAGCAGCGGCAGCAAAAACATACGCTACCCATGACCAGAAATCTTGGTTGGCGTAGCGAAATTGCACACAGCAGCAGACACGAGGCAGAGGCTTGGGCATGGAGTTACAAGAGCTAAATTTCTCCGGGTATATATGAAGGGCACACGCGGCGTTCTTAGCTCTTGATGACGCCAACTACGCATCTGGAGACGGCGGGATGCAGTATAGAACATAGAAATGGTATACTTTGGTTCCGCACAAAGAGAGTTAGTGGGAAGGAAGGGTAGGTGTAGCACTGTTGGGCAAGAGGTCTCGATGAGGGAGTCAGTGGAAGGTAGCACCATGCTACATGTCGGTGCTGTGTACTTGCCCACTTACCATTCCCTCTTCAGGCATGCGTGCATCAGCCATGAAGTGCTCGAGCTCCTTCGCGTCATCCGCGAACTCCTGGGCTAGCAGTGCCATACGCAAGTCTGCAAAAGCATCACAACGGGAGGGATGTAAGTAATCACGGAAGCACGCGGCTCCTGTATCCCCCTTCTACAGGTGTGGTCCGAATCCATTTAGCGTGTGATCGTCTCCACCCGTTTCTTCGGTCCTTGTACTGCAAACTACAAGCACATTCAGACAAGGGATTCATTTTTACCGAGCTCATGAAGTTCATCGTGTAACAATTCCGCTGCTTGTTGTTTAAGGACCTCCTGGGGATTCGGCTTCAACTCTTCGGCTGCTGCTACGTCCGCTGCATTTGCTTGTGCCGTTCCTTCCGCGACTTCAACGCCCCTGAGTTGAGAAGCCAGCTTGCTTTTGAGTGCCTCCAGGGCCATTTGAACTTGATTAAACATGTGAAATTGCCTCTCCTCGTGCCTGCAACACACATCCCGTGAAGGCACTCGACTGACGGCGGAGCATCCAAAAACGAGATGCAAATTGCTGCAGAACCTCGAGAGGCCCAAGCGGCGGACATAAAAACAGCAGAGTGGAAAATAACAGGAAGAAAGGAGTAGAGGAATCCGATGGAGTAAGAAGGGTGGAGAACCAACGTCACCGTGGTAACGACCGGGCTACCTGAGATACACATATGCTACAGTTGGAAAAACAAAGCATAGACACTCAACGACGGACTCATGCTGTATATCCGTCAGTTTCCGCAGCAACCGGAGCTCGGTTTCGATATCCCGAGGTTCACGCCTGCAAAAGGGCAGCACACAACATCTCTCTCTCTGTACATATGTAGGGCAGCAAACTGCGAATTTCACTCCCCCTACCGCAAACTGTAAACGCTAGGCCTTCAATAAAACCACTCACTCTTCCGCAGACCCCGTGGCGTCATCTTCAGCTTCCGCAGAGGGCCCTCCTTGGACCCCTTTGTCTGCCAGGGGCCCCCCCTGGACACCTTCCTCCGACTCTTGTACCTGAGCAGAGTCCGTATCTCGGCACTCTCCTGCATCGGCGTCGTCTCTGGGATGCGCATGAAGCTTCTGCATTTGCTTCTGCTGCGCCCGCTCCTCCTGCAGACAAAGAAGAGCACCTGGGGAAAAGGCTAGACCCTAATATGGATGCCCATACAACGCGTTTCAGTCGCGGAAGAGCACGAAGGCGGTCACCTTCGGAGTACACAAGCCCCCAGCAGAATCGTGCATGGTTCAGAAGAATGTACAGCGGGCACCCAAAAGGCCCCGCGGCGTGCGAATGCAGCATCAGCAGCACCAGCCACAGGACCTGCAGCAGAGAAATGCTATGCCTGAGCGATTCTTCTTCTTCTCGCAGAAGCTCAACCTGCTTTGTCATCGCCTCAAGGCTCGCTGCACCGAACAAACAAAGCGCGCGGGAGGCGCTCTTGTGCTCTGGAGTGTGTCTACGAAGTCTCGGAGTTTTGAGATCTCGTGGCAAAGTCCTTTATGCAGGCGGAAACATGTTGCATGCATGCTTTTTCGGCGTCACTGCTGCGTCATACCTGCTTTGCGCAGCTTGTCTGTCTCAGGCTCACCATCTGCTGCGGCAGCAGCAGGCATCTCTCCTTCTGCTGCAGCTGCTGCTGCTTCTTCCGATTTCTGCTGCTCCGCCGTTTCGGGTGCAGCGCGCTGTCCCGCAACCGCAGCCAGTGAAATGCTGGGCGCTGTTGCAGCCTCAGTTGCTGGTGCACTTGCTGCTACCGTCGAGGTTGTAGCAGTAGGCTGCAATTGAGAAGCCGGTATCATGGACACGCAGCGGCTCCATAACAGCAAGATAGGCGGCACATCTCTATGGGACGACACTTCAAGCCATCGCCGCATCTGCAAAGCAGACGCAGCAGCCCATAGGAGATGCAAGCAGAGCATACTCCCTTTGACGCTTTCTGGCTGCGACATACGCCCTTAAAGGCCCTCCTGCTATCCCGTGCCTTTTCAGAGTCTTTCCAGCAGACATGCAGGAAAGCCTATGAGAAGGGCACAGAGTGACCCTTCATTCAGTGGGATGGATGCCCCTCGAGGGCCGTCAAATAGCATAGAGGCCTCAACAACGTACTGAAGAAGACAAGAAGCTAAGGGAAACAAGACCGACCGCCTAAAAGGGCCCCCTCATCCCCTTGAAAGCACACGCCTTGTCCAGCTAACGATGCTGTCCTGTGCTGCTGGTGCTGCCTACCTGCTCCCGCATCGCGTCGTCTGTGGTACCGTAAAACTTCATGCCACGATCTCTGCATGCCTCAACCAACTCCTCGTGCGTCAAGCTGTCCACACCTTCCCACAAGAACTCTCTATCTTCGCGCTGTATGTGGTTGATATGGTGCCTGAACACACCCCAAAGCAAAGGCGCGCGTGGCCATGGAGACACTGAGAAGCGCACATAAAGCCCCTCCTAATAGGAGGGATACGCCCTCCTCTTCTCCCCTCGCTTCTCGTAGCTGCAGAAACGGCATCCTTGTTGTCGTTGGAGGATAGCCAAAGAAGACAAGAGAACATGCGTAACAAATTTCTACACTGCCAAATGATGAGAGGAATCCATGAGATTGATACGCGCATAACTTGCAAAAAGGCATCTACGGCGGTGGAAAGCCCTCTACACGCGTGTTGATAGTTGCATCTTTGATGCACTGTCTACAGTCAGATCCTCGCTGTAGATATCCTCAACATATGCCTATACGCGTGGGAAACCACAACCATAGACACTCCTGGACGAAGACTACATGCGGGGATGGATATAGCTAGTTCTGCAATAAAACGAAATCCACCGAGGCTTCTTTCCTAGCGCATCCGCCGTGGGTCAAAACGATATACTACATAGATATACTATATAAATATAAATACTGTGACGAAGATACACAACGTAATAGGTACACTATATAACAGATATTATTACCCCATATAAAAGTACTACATAATAAGATATATTATATCACTATATATCTGCGTGGTCCGTGAGTTACATCAGGATGCATCCATTGAGATACAGCTGCAAGGGATGAATGGACTGACCGCAGTTGCAGCATCACGTGGGAACGAACGCTGTACGGTTGCAGGCCGAGAAGCTTACACATAACCTGCATGCGCACACACTCGTCAAGAGCCGCCGCCTCCCGTGACTGCTAAGTAGAATCACAAATGGCGCATGATAGCAACAACCGCAGCAGCAGACTGGCGAATATTACGATCTCTGAGAAAAACGCAAGAGGAGCAGCACCACAATCCACCTGTAGCGTCTGGAGATCCATTTTGTTGATGACAAAGTCATCCTTGAATAAACGGGAAAATTCTAGAATTTCATTCAACCTGCATGCAAAGAAGATGACCCGTAGCGAGCGGCACATATGCGCGTGGAAGCATCCACAGCGGGAGCTGCAGCCCCCACGTGAAGCAGTCTTTCCCTGCTCCGGCAGAGCCAAAGTAAATGCAGTGGCAGCGTCGGCAACGACAGACAGCGCAGCGTCACTTGAGTGTACCCGGGCAGTGGAGGTTCCCCACAGGTGTTCGGCTTGAGAAGCTTTTGCTGAAAGGATTTCAAAGCCTTGGATTTCGCCGCAGAGTCAGCAGCGGGTGTCTGTTCTGCATGAATCCACGAGAAGAGCAGAAAGGAGCAGCACTGATCCAGCCGCGTGGTTTCCAGTGCGAACGCGCAGCGAAAAGGGAGTATACACTATGAGGAGTAATGAAATCCCCGAGGAGATCTACATGAAGGGTCGCAGTACCAATAAGATGCCGAGTTCTCTCTTGCAGCAGCTCCTGAAAAAAGGCGGCAAGCTCCTGCTTTGCCTGCAGTTTCCTACTCAGAAAGGCGTGATCCACCTGCCTGTAAAGCAGCAGTCGCAGGGTCACTCGCAGCGATTCCCGCTAAAAAAAATTGACTTTGCCTTAACGCACCCCTAGCAGGGTGACACCGCTGCCCCTACATCCCATAGGCTCCAAAGACGTAGTATGAAGGGATTCAAGTATCAGGGCTTTTAGCCTTGCTTTTGCTGGAAAGTCGAAGGCAGCATGTTCGGGAAGAGTCGGAGCGCGACGGGGATAAGAAGCTCTCCCAGAGGAACGATGATGAGCAAGGAGAACGGAATCAGTTTAAGGGCGTCTGCTGTAGTCCGAACCTGAAGCAGCGGCACCAACAGACACCGACATACGCATGCACAGAGAGGCCCCCGTAAACATATGCCTGTTTACCACGTGCAACGCACGTCACGTGGAGGAGCACAAAGAAAGGACAGAGGGTATATGAACCAACGAAGCCACAAGGATAGAGGACAGCCGATGAGGAAAAAACGAAGGAGGCGAAAGTTCTAAGAAACCCCTTGGCAACAGAAAGGATGCATTGCTCGGGCATGCGAAGCAGGGAACTGTATTGCCACGCCACGACGTGCAGTGCCTGGAGGAAGGCACGACAGACACATGGATAGAGCCCACGAAGGCGGTGCGCGGTGTGAGGCAAGTCGGATGACAGAAGCAGCAGAGACGCCTTCAAACACGGGGAACCGAAGCGCAAGCTAGCTGAGACGGACAAGGAGCTTATGTTCATTGTAGCGCAGGGGATAGCCCAAGATCTTCTTCTTGAGAAGCTGATGAGACACTCGAACATTCGCAAAGAATAGACGAAAGCCTGTACAGCACCAGCGCCAGGTATGTAATGTCGCTGCACCAAAAAAAAGCACGCGCGGTGACACACACCAGTAAGTCCTCCTAGCCCCTTACCCGCAGCTCCAAGTATCTGCTTCTCCTTCGGCCGCTTGCCAACCTGCTTTATGGCACGCGGCGGGGAAGCTGCCTAAGGCATCAGGATGGATTGACCTTGAATTGACTGTCTGTGAGTCTGCACGTCTTAGCCGTTATATCCCAGCGAGCGACACGGAGAGCACGACAGAGAGAGATAAAGAGAGAGAGAGAGAGAGAGAGAGAGAGAGAGAGAGAGAGAGAGAGAGAGAGAGAGAGAGAGAGAGAGAGACAGACAGACAGACAGACAGACAGACAGACAGAGAGAGACACAAACAGACAGACAAACAGACAGACAGACAGACAGACAGACAGACAGACAGACAGAGAGAGACACAAACAGACAGACAGACAGACAGACAGACAGAGAGAGAGAGAGAGAGAGAGACACAAACAGACAGACAGACAGACAGACAGAGACACAAACAGACAGACAGACAGACAGACAGACAGACAGAGACAGAAAGAGCTGGCCAGCAGCAAGCCGATGAATTTGTAGCCGAGCGCATGCCCATTCGACAAAGGCAGTGCTACAGAGGGTGTGTGGAGCTTAGACCCTCACCAGCTGTTCAGCGCAGACAAGTTCCCTGCTGCGAGGCACACAGGCACATCGTCTCGCACTCTGCTGGACGCAACCAGCTCACTGAAGCGTTCACACAGCTTTAGCAGAGAAGCAGGAGAGGGGCCCTCCGTGGAGGACGAGCTGCTTGTGGGCAGGGGCGTTTCCGGAAGGGTGAGGCCTCCCCGGTGTTCTCCTTGAAACTCATTCGCTGCCCTCCTCCCATCGCGTCTGGACAAAGGGGCCGTCATGGGGCCCCTTTGTCTGGCCTCAGGCACACGTTTCGAGACAGCACATGCCACAGTACGCTCCCGCTCCTGAGCGTGTGCCTTGTTGGAAGCTGAAGGGGCCCGGGGGGGCCTCCGGAGTTGCCCCAACTCCCCCGAAAGACTCTGTGGGGGGGGGCCTTGGGAAGAAGGAAGTGGCTCCGAAAGGCCTCCTGCAGTGTCTCTCTGTTTATGCGTTGTGTACATTCCTTGAATTCATGCAAAACAAGCTAGCAAGCAATGAAAATGGTGGTTGCTGGAGCCTCAGGGGGCTCTCGGGAAATGTCAGGGGGAGCCCGTTGGATCTCTCTGCAACTGCTTGAGACTGGCCTATTCCAACTCAAATAGTACATGAAAAAAGGGAAAACGGAGGCCATGCGCTCGCATAGCAGAGGAATTAGAGAGGCCAGCGCCGACGGGTGGTGGGACAGCCACTGGGAGCTTGCGAGCTGATACGCGCTATGGGCAAAAATAACGCAGGCTTTGTATTGGTTCTGTCGCCTTATTCATCCAACAGCGTAGTTTCTAATGTTCACTCACAGGAATAAAGAGCTACAATGAAATGTAGGCCAAGACCCAGGGAATCCGGTGGACATCCGCTGTGAAGGAGGGGGGCCCTGGGGGGCCCCCCCTTTTCACGCGCTTCTTTGTTGCTAATATGTTCGCGTGTCTACACATTTTTCACTGATCAGTGCATGTCAAGTGCATACTCCACAGGGCTACGGTGAAAGGAATAGGTAACATGAAATGGAGGCTTTTATAGGGCCTGCGTCCTGCCGTGCGTTGTCTACACAGTCCGCTGTAATAATTTGCAGCTGCTTGAAATTTACTCAAGCACTGACTGTCTTGATGAGCTCACATGAACAAATCATACTAGTCTAGCAGAGAACACACAACGTAGGTAACGTATAGAATGTGGCTTTGCTCCAAGACACTGGACGCGCATATGCAGGTGATTCTACGGAGCGCTTAGAGCATTTGGGTATTCGATCGCGTTTGTCACCCCTCCCAAGGGACAAGGCACCAACAGACTGAGGCAAAGGAAGAATATCGGCTTTCTGAGAAAAAAGGTCCATTCTGCATGAATTGATTGGCAGCTTAGCTAAACACGTTCTCATACCATTTCCAGGAGGCGTTTCACAGTTTGTGGAAGGCTGCAAGTAGCTTTGCACATAATCAAAGCTTGACAACCCCTAAAAGAGGCAAGCAATGGAGTTTTTTGTCGTAAAAAATTGATGTACAGCTCCAGAGGGCTGACCGAGGCAAGTGCTTCACATCGATTGCTTATTGAAAGATTATGTACGATGAGTGACATTGTTCATGCAGCGAATACCGTTTATTGTGAAACTTCCCACGATATGGACTTTATTGAAGCCCTGCCTCATCGGTCCATGCAAAGACAGGCTAAAGAGCACGTTTTGGCATAAGTGCAACGGGTTAAACGAAAAAATACGTCAAAAAATCGCAGTATCACACAATATGATCCCCTGGTTGGCAAAATTCACAACGTATGCAAGCAGCTACTCTGTCAGTAATTTTCTCATCTCGACCTTATGGTAAACGTTGTATGGCCCCGAGTGGGGCCCTAGTTCTGCGATTGTAAAGCCAACCAGTATAGCTTACTGGACTCATGAGCTTAATGAGAGCTGACGAGCAAGTAGACACAGCTCCTTCATTAGTTGCAAAGAGGATCCATGTGTAAACTGAGGTATGCTGGATGCTGGAGCCGTTGCATCTTGCCCAAACATGCAACTCAAAGAAAAACCGATGAGAACAGCTGAGAACATTCCCATTCCTGAGGAGCCCTACAAAGGCTCCCAACAAAACACTTGATTGGTTTATGGGCACTCACATCATGTAGCTCGGAACTCCGAAGGCCAACACATTCAAGCTAGGCTCTACGAAAGCAAGCCGATCAGCAAGCAAATAAGAGAGCCTCATAAGCGAGACGCCCTCCATTAATGCTGCCAGACCGCCTTCAAAGAGGTACCGAGGTTCAGTTATGTTTTGGTTTTAAGTTGCATCAGCTGTCAGAAACTGCTAGCGTTGCGTGACAGCAAATCTGAGGTGGGTCTGCCATCCGATGACACCACATGGAGGTTCAGTTCGCCTGCGCATTGATTAGCGTTGTGCCAAAAAGTTGGGTTCCCAAAGGCAGCCGAACGCACGAGTTGAAAAGGCATGTTCTGCACAACACTATATCAACATAGACGCAGCCCTCTATAGCTTATTCAGGGCTCATTTAGAAACCTTTAATGGACTTTCCTAAAGCTGTGCCTCCCCCCCGGAGAGTATGCGGTAAAGCTCCCGTGCGGAGGCACTTGCGGGGGCCTCCCTCCCTCGCATCACGCAGAGGACCCCCAAAGGCAACAAGGTTACCGCTGAAACTAGCAATGCCAATGTAATGGTGGAAATGAACGCCCCTGCATACCATAACCTCATGGACGCAGGGAGCCCTACCTTCCCCACATGGCAAGGAAGCCGAAAACGTGGTCAACAAGAAAAGCCAATCGCCCTATCCCCCACACCGATTCCGCTCTCCGGAAATGCAACCGACCTGCTTCTTTTTGTTGCATTTAGATGTCACTGCAAAATGCCCCACTCCCTAGCCCAAACTCCAAGCGCTGATGGAGAACTGCAAGGAGCCACGTCTCAAGCCACTTAAACTTTAAGGCTTTTGGAAGGGTGTGTGCATTCTGCTGACTGTCTTGTAAGCCACAAGCCCATTCCCACATCTTGGAGGCTCATCCTCAGCGCAGGCACTAGAGTTGACGTGTCTTTTGCAAGCCGATAGCATCCGTCTGAAGAAACTTCACGGAGCCGCTGTTCTCAGTACGCTTGGTGCTTGTTGTACTACAGGCACTGCAACAACGCATGTGGAATAGCATGTGAGGCTTCTGGACTGGATATCTGGAACAGCCGCACTCCACCTGCCTGAGTTAACGGAGCGTGGGTGTAGCTACAGTTGCAAAAATGCACGTTGCCCAGGATTGTCATAATGCAAAGCAATTGCACCAAATATACTAGCCTCGCGGTGACTTTTGGAGCAATGCCGCTGGATGGGTAAAGCGTGCGGCATCTCCATGCCTTGCTGCATCCACAGCAACAGAAACAGCAGCAGAATGAAAGTCAAACACACCAGCTCGTAGTGCCGTCCCCATTTTGCATACAGCCTCCCACTCCTCATCACTCTTTGGTCTGCTTGATACCCGGGCATTAAATCCACTGTTTGACATTCAACATGTCATTTCAGGCATGCCTCTTCACCCAAAAATCTGTAGACCAGTGGCTGTGGTGGTGTGAGAAGTATGTTTGACACAACTCCCAGTGTTGCAAACTGACACGCTTCTCATCATAGCGGCCCCGAATCACGTTTCAACAAGCTGTTGCTTAACAGAGCGTGTGTGGGCCCTGACAGGGTCAACACCGCAAGTCGTAAACCATTCTCTTAGGCCCCTCAATACGCGCAGGGAATTCAAAGCCTTAAATGTGGTTGCCAGCTCTCCTGGATTGTTGGACTTTCTGAGAAACTGAATTCAAGTAATGTCACCTCTAAAGGGTGGCTAACCGTGTGTATGCACGTGTAGCCACTAAAAGGCAAGGCCTCAGCTTGCAAGAACGAAATTTGAACGCCTTTCTCCCCCTCCCGAAACCATTCAAAGTGCCTGCAGTGGTGCCTTTGGCCAGTACATAAACCGTGACCATGTGTTACGTTGCGTACGTGCCAGGAATAATCAGCACTCAGAAGACAACTACGTCTGTACCACGAGGGAACACGTGGCACCAATGCTTGCCTCGTCCTGGCGCTTCGCTTGTACTATTACTGGCTATGCAGTGCTTTAGTCAATCTTTTGAAGCTAGCTTTTAAACAAGCATTCCAGGATTTTATGCCTTTCCAGCTCGCTCGTTGCCTGCTTGTGGCCCTCTATCTCCTGCCTCACACACATGGTAAGAGGTTCCACTTGACCCCTAAACTCTAGCGTATTTCAAAGATCCTTCCCACGTCCTGGCTCCAGGCGTTTCTCCAGGCGCCACACTGAGATTAGGCATTGGGACTATGCCTACTACCAGCCCCGCAATCTCTCGAAGGGTTGTGCATGGAATACGCGTAGAGCTCAGGAGGAGCTGTATTCATGACGCATTGCACATCCGTCGCTCAACTGACGCCCCATGGTGGTTTAGCCGTCAATCCTTCGCTGTATCTATACCTTTTTGCCCCCCTCACGTAAGTCATCGAGCTGGCTTTCTCCTCTGCCGGTGTCTGCCTCCATGCCCGCCAGGCGTCTGCTTGTCCAAGTGTATTTCTCAAACCCTTAATCTTCTTCGCTACTCTCCTCACTCGCCGATTCCCCTGCTTCAATGCCTGAAGGACATTCAGACTCGTGAGACACGGCAAAGCCGTTTGCCTGCTGAGCCCCTCTCTCGAGTATTGAATCAAGGGTTAGAGGTGGCACGCCAACGCTAACAAACCAGGGCGGCAGAAGTGGAGGACAGGACGCAGACAAAAATATGAATAGGGAGGGGCGGTGATAGCAAGGAAAAGGTAGAATAAGCCAAAAAGGGAAATTGGAGGTGTACCAAGATAGATGTTGACGGCTCTGGGAATGATGAGGTCTCTAAGGATCATGGCAATGTCATACTCAGCGCTCAGCCGCTTAAACAGCTCCCTGGTATCCTGAGAGCCCGCAACAGTACATTTAGAGGGTAGCAGTAATGACATATTCCTGGCCTCTTGCCCCACCTCTCTGCTTACGCATGTCGTCCTGTGTGCTCCCCGTCCCTATCGCTGCCTCTATCTTTCTAGTGCCTCGATGTCTGTCCTTGCCCTTCTGCCTCGCTCTGTCTCTATCTGCCCCTTGCTCTTCTCTACGTCTATACCATAAAATTCGAGCTAGTGGGCTGCACGGGGGAGCTCGATCTGTGTTGGACTGACGTCTTCGCCCATGATCTTCATGGCTTTAGGAGAAGGCACTTCGGTAAAATCGAAAAATCGGAAAAATGATTTCTCCTCGCTGATGGTCTGCAACACCCGCACTTCCTTCGTTCGAATATTGCGCTGCTTGCTGATGCGAATCGACTTGGTCAGATCCTTGAACACGCAAAAGTACCCACAGCACGCAGGGCGTTCCAGCAGACAAACGCTGCCACAGGTGACAAGCATCCAGCTGCCCCCCATCTAGACAGCTGCTCCTATGGAAGCCAGGAGAAAAGCGGGAGGACAAGTTCCATAAAGAGAATCATTTTAGAAAGTAGCAATTGTAAAACAAGCACACCTGAAAGATACGTTGTTATCTAAGGTGCACCGCCTGTGTGTGACCGCTATCGCCCCTAGTTCTAGGGCATATTTATAACACTTACCATGCCTTCTTTCCACTGGATATCCGTGCCGATGGTTTTGCTGACAACCAGGTCGTCTCCTTCAGGCCGCATAAGGAACTCTTTGCTAAGGACTTGGTTCGAGAAAAATGGGTTTTCCGAAAAGAAGAAAAAGAGCTTAAAGCCCTCCTCCCTTCGCAGCCGCTTCTCGGCTCGAATATCTTGGCAGTACAGCAGCGCCGCCCTGTCTCCATCCTTAAGCGTCGCTCTAATGCGGCTGTCCCTCTCCAGCACTGCCAACCAAAAGCCGGGGAGGCCTGGGGTAGCCACGGAGGCAGTATCTCCCGCATCTTCCGGTGCTTCTGCTGCTAAATCTGATACCGCTGGAGCCCCTGCCGCAACTGCGGCAGCTACAGCCGCTGCTTCAGCTGCTGCCTGCTTTGGAGGGCATGAGAGCAGCTCAGCGCGCTTCTGGTATAGCGGAATCAGCCGCTTTTCGTACTGGTACCTGAAGGTCACACATGCGCTAAACTCGAGGGCCTGTACATGTATATATAGAGAGAGAGAGAAAGAAAGAGAGCCAGCAACCACGAATTGAAAGCAGGACACACGGCCTCAGCGAAAGGCGGGAGCATAATGCTGCATTTCGAGCGTGTGGTATAGGGCTTGCCTTAAAAGCTCCACTTCTTCTTCATACTGCTTTTCCATTTCCTCCACCTGTGCATGGACCTCTTGGAGCTTGGATACAAGAACTCTTTGCTCGGGGGTTAGCCGTTGTAGCAGGGGATCGTCAACCTCCTCCTCTGTATCTGACTCTGTCTCTGATGCGCTGGCCACCTCTTGTGCATCTCCCCGAAGCAAGCGTAGCGCATTCTCCAGGGCCTTCTTTGAATCCTCAGCACGCTGTACCACAATCGCTGGTGCTGCTGTAACTTCCTCTGCCTCCTTCTCCTTCCTCTGCCTCTCTTCCTCTGCCTCCTTTTCCTTCCTCTGCCTCTCTTCTTCTTCCTCCTTCTCCTTCCTCTGCCTCTCTTCTTCTTCCTCCTTCTCCTTCCTCTGCCTCTCTTCCTCTGCCTCCTTCTCCTTCCTCTGCCTCTCTTCTTCTTCCTCCTTCTCCTTCCTCTGCCTCTCTTCTTCTTCCTCCTTCTCCTTCCTCTGCCTCTCTTCTTCTTCCTCCTTCTCCTTCCTCTGCCTCTCTTCCTCTGCCTCCTTCTCCTTCCTCTGCCTCTCTTCCTCTGCCTCCTTCTCCTTCCTCTGCCTCTCTTCTTCTTCCTCCTTCTCCTTCCTCTTCTTCTCTTCTTCTTCCTCCTTCTCCTTCCTCTGCCTCTCTTCCTCTGCCTCCTTCTCCTTCCTCTTCCTCTCTTCTTCTTCCTCCTTCTCCTTCCTCTTCCTCTCTTCTTCTTCCTCCTTCTCCTTCCTCTTCCTCTCTTCTTCTTCCTCCTTCTCCTTCCTCTTCCTCTCTTCTTCTTCCTCTTGTCTCTTTTTTTCCGCCTCCTGAAGAGCTTTAAGAATTTCTGTTGCTTGTGCTTGCCTCCTCAATCTCTCTTCTGGAGGAGTAGGTGGCGTGGGGGCTCGCTCCTTTTCTTCAGCGAAAACATCCACCTCCACCGAGTGCGCTTTCTTAAGCTTTACTCCTTCAGGCTGCTCTTGCTGCCCCTCCCGTTGCTCCGGTGGCTTCTGCTGCCCCTGATCGTGGCTTTCTGGAGAAGCTGGGCTTGGGGGAGGGGATAATGGAGTGTCCTGGGGTGGGGAGGACATTTCTTCTGTGGAGGAAGGCTCTCTGCCTTGTTTCTTCCGCCCTATATCCAGGAGTTCGGGCGTAGCCGGTACTTTTGAGAGTGTAGGGCTGACAGTACAGGCCTCGTAGCCCTCTACTTGAGGCGTCAACCGTGGTTCAGACTCAAGCCCTGCACTCGAAACACCGCGAGGCCATCAATAATTCTGAGGCTGCACGGCCCCTTCCCAAAACGCCTAATCCATAGAGATAGCTTTCTGCTAAACCTGAAAATTCCAATGGGGCAAAGGGAGTCTACAGGAAGTCCAGGCAGCTGCAATGGATGGTCGCTTCCCGCAGCTACGACACGTGCAGCTAGACGCTGTGAAACTCAAAAATGAAGAAGAAGGACTTTCCGTGAACATTCGGCTCCAATAAAAGTGCATAAAGCATGAAAAAGAAACAAATCGGCACGCAGACACCCCTATTTTTGTATGAAGAGGGCAGTTATTCTAGCAAGCATGCAGAAACTGTTCATCGACGTAGGCAGCCAGCTGAAGCTGATGGCCCTGAAATAGCAACATCAGGGGCAACATACTGGGTTATATGAGTTTGTACCCTTTTTTAAGCTCGTCCTTCGAATTGGTGTACTGCAGAAACCTCATAGGCCACCAGCCTTTAGCTTTGTACGCCATTTGACCGTTGGTCCACAGAAGGGCAGTGGTGTATGACTGCGGCTGACGTTGCCCCTTTGCCGGTTTTGTCGGCCCTAACTCTGCATTAGAACTAAAAATACGAATATGCGTGCTACCGATACGTAAATACGCAGTACTATGTTGGTGCTTGCCTTCTGTTGCTGCTAGTGGTCCTGCCCGTGCAGTGTACAAGAGGCACTGCTGCTGCCACTTCACAATACAGGATGTTACGTAGCTGCCGCGGCCAATGCAGCCATGTCAAAAGGTCTATGGTGCTATAGATGCTGATGCTGTTGCCACCGAAGCCACAGCAGGCTTGCTCAGAAGAGATAGTACCAGAGCAACAATAGTGTATCAATGTGAATGGTCAGAGGAAAGCCTGAAGAACCAATAGGCTTCAAGCGTGGACGTTTGAAACCAGCCTTAGATTGAGCTCTGGATGAATATACTGTGCAAAGTACTGGACACTAACTCTTAGCACTCGAGGAGGCAACAGCGATAACCCTGCCAATCCTAGGAAGGCGTAAAGCCCCAAAACGCAAGCACGCGTAGAGGGGAGCTAAAACTTGAGCATCCCCTCCAACGGCTATTTCACCCTCAGTGTCTGATGAATCATAAGTGGCAGGATTTTCGTCTGAAGAAAGGAATGATCCACGGCAGGCATCCAAGTCAGGGCACCCTTTGTAACGTCACCCAGCCTTTGCACACATTTGCACAATGAAGTTCAGCTTATTGGCGCTCAGCAAGTTGGTGCACAGTTCCGCATTGTGCATTCTTGGAATATTGAGCTATCCGTGCTAATTAGGAAATAGAGCGCGAGTACAGCCAAACCATGCAGCCAATACACAGCTCCATCTAGACACCCGTTGAAGTGCCTGCCACAGAGCAGCTTGGGCCAAAGCAGCAGGAGATGCAGCAGGACCAGGATCAATCCAGTAGTGGCAGAATAGAAGTAGAAGCAATTGACTTCTGAGCAGCGGGTGCAACATGCCAGCTAGCAGAAGCACAATAGGTGCAGTGGCAAGACAAGCAGGTGGAGGCACCAGCATACCATGCAGCAGAGTGAAGCAGTCAGCGGCAGGTGTAAGAAAACTGCTTTGTGGAGACCTTCTGCAGAGCATCTTCTCAATTCCAAGCAAGCATGCAAAGCTCAACCCCTGAACTGGCACAGGAACAGATGGAAGGAAACTTACAAACTGCCAGAGTGTCCTAGTTTCACAAGGGTGACATTGGCGTTTGCATGCAAGTTGTCAAGAAAAGTCCAACCGCAGCGAGCCCTTGAACGTTCCGGCCACGCCACTTCCTGATCGCATCCAAGACACCGCGTTCCCTAGCTTTACCTTAGCTAGCAGGGCCTCTTGTAAGCCAATTGCCTCCATGCATACACTCGCCCACTTACATGCTGAATGGTGGATGCAGACGTATCTTACGAGGAAACCAAAACGAAATCCTTCAGCCAGACGGCAACTTGCTGTGGGGAGGAGGAGGGACGCGAGGAACGATTTTCGGGGAAGCCCGTCAACCCCCATAAAATCATTAGAGGCTAGTGTTTTGAAAGACTGCCACCTCGTATATCGGGCTTCCCGGTAGCTCTATCCTAGTGTTACAGACTGCAGCATATCCCGAGAGTGTTCTTTACATGCAGTTGTCTAAACATCCAGTGTCAAGCCCTGATCGCTGCCTCCAAAGTTCAAAGCCTTAGCCGGGTTGGGAGCAGCCCCGCCAGACCTTTCTTACTCATATCCAGGGCTGCTCCTTTGCAGGCCCTCAGTGCAACTAGCTTGTGGGATACGCGATGGAAATGAGAACTGCTCCTAAAACTAAATCGTAGCCGTCGGGATGTCGCCGTAGCGATCTCTCTTCCAGGATCTAGTGCCTTTCCACAACAGCTCCCTCTTCCCTCTTATCCATGCATACCGTCCTAATTCTGCAGGCTTCTCGCATGTACAGAGAGTATGGGCATATATACTGTGCTTGAGCTTTAATATATCCTCAACCTGTACTTCCCAAGCATACAGTCGCACTTAGATCCACTTAGCAACAATCATAGGCCCTCAACGTTGATGCTTGTCACACTAAGCTAAGGGCCTCCACTCTAGAGAAGAAAATTGAGTACACACGAGCAGGCAAACCAGGGAGTTATCACTTTTGATACCGAATTCGTAATTCAATAAAACTAGCACAAGTGCAAGTGCCACAGCGCAGCATTCTCCCCACAGCACCTCCGGTGAGGAATCACAGATGATACAGTGTTAAGGTGATGCGCCTTAAAGCCATATCCTTCTCAAGGCTCAGGGACACCTTCCGCGCATGCTACGCGTACCTCTGAGGCTGCCCGTAACTAGCTACTCGCGGTGTGAGTCTCCTGTCGCGAACATTCTTGCCGCGTACGAGGCATGTGAGAGAGTTTTCTTGAGAGAATTTTAGAGATGGTAAAGCAGTTAGTAAAGAATAAGAGTCACAGCTTGCGTTGCAGAGTCAAGGGCGTGCGGCTGGCCTGTGGACACCTGCCAAGACCGCAAAAAAAAAGTACTTGGGCAGACCCACCAACAACCCCAAATCAAATTACCAGACGTTCTTATCTTTCGGTATAATTGCGGCGCCCCTCTTTGCACAGGTTTGTACACGAGCTAGTTGTAGCACAAGTGACGAAGGCACAGTGGGGGCCCCCCAACGAGGGCCCCCCGAAGGCCCTCGTTCAATTTACATTACCCGCAAACCTAGATCCCACACATTTCCCGGCGCGAAGCCATTTCCCATTGTCTTAAGTACTTAGCTCGTAGTGATCGAGGCATCGGTGCACGTTCTGAAGGCTTTTGACGTCCAGGAACGGTGTTGCGGTGGCCTTGTCCGCGCGCTTGCGCGTACGCTGTCAGTGCTCAGATATTCCTTCGACTGCATTGGAGCATTGCTGTCAGTGATTCCAGCATCTCCAATAGCAGCAGGAGCAGCGTGTGGCACTATAGTCCCTTGCTCGGCAGCGCAGCCAGCCGGTTGCCCCCAGGCGTATTCCCCCAGGACCTTATGTGCCGACGATGAAAGGCACTTTATTTGGCAGCTGGGATTGTCTCAAATACCTGTGCAGGATACATGTCAGCTACTCCAACAGAAGACCGGAAACCTCACAAAACGCAAAGTCTGGCGCTGTTGCTGCGCTCACCTGATGGCTATTTGTTTGCTGCTGCTGCTGCAACTAATCCATTGTGCCAAGTGCCCCGGCTGGGATTCACTCATGTGTCATCTGATGCCTCTCAGTGATCCCTGTAGCTGCTACCACTGCTGTTGCGGCCCGTCCTGCTGCGTCTCAAGACGGTTTGCTGCACTCCTTCATATTGTTTCTTGCTTTGCATCCCGACTTACCAGAGTGTGCAGTTTAGCTATGTTATATCCATTGTTGCCCGTTCAGGGATCTGATTCTGCGCCTGACGTCTCAAAAGGTGCAGCGTTGCCATCCGCAGCTGCAGGTCACCTGGGAAATGCTGGACTATGACGCCCCCGCGACAGTGGAAGCCACGCTCGTCAACGGACGCAAGCACAAGTAGGCGCCTAATAGACTTCGTAGGCTTTGTCTTTTTGGATTCAGATTGAAGTGGTTAAGCGGCCACAGTGACTGCTTTGTAAGGGGGTGAAGCATTTGGGTACCCGCTCTCCTATTCTTGCTCCATCAATCCACACTGTTGCGGCTCGGGTGTACAGGCAGCTGCTGGAGGGATTCAGCTCAGCTCAGAGGCGTGAGATTGTAGACAAATGGCGCTTTAAGGGTAAGACTGCATGATTTGCTTAAGGCTGTGGGTTGTGTGAGGGACTTTTCTGCTCTGCAAACCCTACGCGGTTTTCGGCTCTTTTGAGAGTTTTTGGTGCTTTGTTTGTGGGCGTTTAGACCAATTGCTAAAATCCGCTCTGCTGTTTATTTTTTGCAGCTAACCTCGAGCCATGGGAGGAAGTGCTCGCTCCGAAACTTCCAGAAGGCCAAGCGCCAGCTTCACCGGGGGGCGATTCCCCGCACCAAGAGCAACAAGGCCAGTCCAAGCACCCATAGGTTTTTGGCATTCAGAATAACAGCGGCAGGTACCGCTGTACGACTAGCCCACGCAGGCGATGTGCCTGTCGCGTAGTACGATCAGCTGCCTGGAGGCGGGCTTACGAATCAGCTGAAGAGTACACCGCATGATTTTGCAATGTGGCTGAGCAGGCATTATCCACGTGTATTTACCCTAAGCCTTGTCGATACCCGTGCGGGCCATTTTTCCGAAACCGCCTATGTTTTATGAAACAGTGTAGGGATCTAGGATCCACTGTTGAGAGCGTGACGTGAGCTTCGTGACAATACAGCCGACGCAAGCTTTAGGGCAGGCAGTGAAGCTTGCTGCCTTGCTATTCCTCTAGAACCATCTATAATTCTTTCGATGTACGCCTGCAAGTAAATACTTATACACGTTTATATGCATATAGTTCACAGCGGCGCACATTGTTGCTATCTATACATAGGCCTTGAAAGCGCTGAGAGCTCTATTGGAAAAAGTGATGAAGCAAAAGATGGCGGAGCAGAGAAGACTCCTTTCCTGGGTTTTTAAAGGTGCTGCTCCTCTTCTTGATGTTCCTGCAGATGCTGCATTTGCGACTGTCTGCTAATTTTTGTAGCTGTCGCAGCCATTGCATGCCACTGCCCTCCGGTGGCCCTTCAGGGCGTGGATGTAGGTGCGTGCCACTGCGTACAGCTGGTGACATCGCTCATTGAGCTGTAGGGGCTGGATAGGAAGTGGAGCTTTTTAACCTTAGGCAAAGTGGCTTCACGCGTCATACTCCCTTGCTTGCAGGATCCTTATTAGACCTTGGAGGCGGGAGCTAGGCACCTTCGCCTCATTACTTGACGCCCAGGTCGCCTGTAGAAACCTCTCCTACACAGCCAACTGAAAGTTCAGATGCTCTTGAGCCACCAGTATACGAGATCCTTCTGCTACTGCATGACACAGCTGCTGTTGTGCCATGCTTCCACATCCACTCATTAGAGACGGGCGCCCCTTAGGATGTTTGGTTTTAAGGAGGTTTTGCATGAAGGGGCGCCAGCAGGCTTGCAGGTGGCCGGATCGGCTAGCCTGTTAAGGCATATGGAGAAAGGATTGCACTGATCCCTCAATGCAAGCCGTTCGGTACAGCACTTCTTTTGTGCAGACCAGGAGTTTGTGTTGGGTCTACATCGTGTCCCGCCCTGTGTGCCTTCCACGTGGCCCATGTTTAGGGAGAAGTCCCTAGCAATCCTATTCTTGAAAAACCGCGGCCAGACAGTGTATGGATGCCCCACAAACTACATGTGCAGAGATCGCAGCTCTAAAAGCGGGCACAGGAATCCCGAAACCAATTGGGGCTCTTTCTACGTCCATGCACAAAGGCTAGCAGGGAATTTACACCGTGTAGGCGCAACAGCACTTGAAGCGCAAGAAGCACACACCCAAGAAACGGAGAGCAAATGTGCCGCTAATGCCCTTGTTAGGGCTGCTGCTACGGCAACTGTTCTGTCTCACTCGAGTCCGCCATGAAAGTATTTGCCATTTATTGACGTGTTTTTGTTTGGCGCAAAAGAAAGTACTCTGTGGACTCGTCGAGTGAGGCGCTCCACCTTTCTAAACGCAAGCGGCGAAGAACAATTCATACGCCTTCACCACAATATCTCATGATTCAAAAAGTTGATTTCTCATGATGGATCTAGATGAATCAGCCCTCATGCGAGCCCTTGTGCGCCTTCTTCTTCAACAAGGGACCAGCTTCCACGACACACATATAGTTCATTTGCTCCTTTTCTGGTTGTATTACCTGGATCGCAACCTGACAAGAAACCAATGTCCACAAGAACCACAATTTTGGCTGATGCATGGGAATGTAAACGCTCTTTCCCTTGATATCTTGGGAAAGGCGTGGAATACCGAAATGGGACTTCCTTTCTCTGCTACACAATCCGCCACAGCAACCTGAGTTGCGAAACGGTAGGAATGTCTGGTGGACGCGGCGTTCTATGTGATCACAACACAGTAGTGGGGACGGACGCCCCTGCATACCATAACCTCATGGGCACAGGGATCCCCACCTTCCCCACATGGCAAGGAAGCCGAAAACGTGGCCAACAAGAAAAGCCAATCGCCCTGTCCCCCACACCGATCCCGCTTTCCAGAAACGCAGCCGACCTGCTTCCTTTTGTTGCATTTAGATGTCACTGCAAAATGCCCCACTCCCTAGCCTAAACTCCAAGCGCTGATGGAGAACTGCAAGGAGCCACGTCTCAAGCCACTTAAACTTTAAGGCTTTTGGAAGGGTGTGTGCATTCTGCTGACTGTCTTGTAAGCCGCAAGCCCATTCCCACATCTTGGAGGCTCATCCTCAGCGCAGGCACTAGAGTTGACGTGTCTTTTGCAAGCCGATAGCATCCGTCTGGAGAAACTTCACGGAGCCGCTGTTCTCAGTACGCTTGGTGCTTGTTGGACTACAGGCTCCGCACTGCAGGCAAAGGCAAACATGCGTTGGTGGTCTCAAGGGCTCATTTCAGATACTGCATACGATACAATTATCGCTGGAAGATACATTTGCACCAGCAGTACCAAAAGCAGCAACATTCGTAAGGCTGTAGGTCAACAGGCGAATCGGGCGCACCACGAAGATCAAGAAAGGGTCTTTGGGAGACTGCTACTACTTGCGCTGCACATGCCGTAGCGCGAGGAGTGACTCTGCTTCAAACCTTGTAAGGGGAAATGCAATATAGGGGCAACTTCTTCGGACTTCACCTTCCTTTATAATCCCCCCTACGCTTGATTGTCCATTTTTTTTCTTGGCCTTTGGCCAATTGATCTATTGGGACACCAGGCTGGAATATATACTATTGTGAACAAATTCGCATCTCCACTGCTGGCAGCGTTGACTGGCCGGTAGATTACAGCGCCCTCGGCATATGCAGTATGAACGAGCTGTTCTTCGGCAAAGCCTATACGAAGTCTTGCAGAACAACCACACCGCGATCTGCACGGTGTTCTGGAATCTAAACAGAGAGGCTGTATATTCACAACTCATTGTGTGACTTTCAGCTCTTTTGCCCCGTTGGCCATTTCGGGAAAATGGGCACTCGCGATTGGATTTTTAAAGGATAGAGGATCACTTACATTGCTGAGAAATGAATATAACAAGCCTATGACATGTGCCGTAGGTCATAAAATACAAGTCAGACCAAAATAAGCAATACCAATGTATGTCTTTTTCCCGTGTTTTGCTGTGCCACAGCCAGAACAACACCATTAAAGGCATTTGGCCAGCACTCTAGCTCAGCGGGGACCGTCCGAAACACTGGCACCGATGGGTTGCAAAGTCTTCAAATCGCTTGAGGCTCTCAAGCATGATTGACCTGGGCATAGATTCTCGTAACGTTCAAATCTCTGTTTGTCATGCAGTAGAGTCTTTCGTGCACACCATCACGTGTTCCAGTGGGGAGGCAGTATGAATACCACCAAATGAACAGACATCCTTAATAGTTCAAGCGTCGTACCGTTACGAGTGCTGCACACGCCCTCACAAATGAATCCAACTCGGAGCAGCATCATGCCTAGCATCCCGTGCTGCGGTGTAGAACCGAGAGCCCACCATATCTAAGCCGCAAAAGGCTTAAAGTATTGCTGTCAGTCGTAGGCAGTCGAGATGTGTGCGCACGGAACAACGCAGCACTCCTGATGAATAGCGCTTTTAAAGGCTTGCGGCCGCTAGGCTGCTAAATGAAGAGTCTGTCCGCCCCTTACTCCTTATGTGTTCTTCGGTATCCTAACTTGAAATAGTGAAGAACGGTACAAGATATAGTTGCACATCCCGAGGTGGGCTAGAATCCTGCCTTCAAAATAACGCGGGCTATAATGTGCATTTAAACTTGACCAGGTATGCGTGCACCTTCAGCCGTTGAGACCAACTGAAGGCTCAGGCTCGAAGCATGATTTCCTCGTAACCCCTTAAAGCCGCTTAGCCGGCATTGCAAATTCCAAAGCCAGCTACTACAAATCCAATTCTCCCGCTCCCTTTTGCCCAATTACCGAATGCCCACTTATTCGGCTGTGAATGAAAGCAACTGGCATGCCCCTCGCAGGTCCCGTCGAAGCCCAATCCACTCCCTAGAGCCCTCAAAAATCATTAATCCCCAAAACTCTGAATGCAATAAATGTTCCCCCTCGTCGCTCTTCCTTAGGCCCTGGCCTTCCCGGCCCCCATTCGCTCCGGGGAGCACATGCAGGGCGAAGAAGGCTGGGGAAGGCGCAGCCTGAAGAGCCGTCGAGAGCTCTCTTCGCTCGCGTTACATAGTGTCTGTGCCTCTGAGGCTTCCACTCAGTGACAGTGCAAATGCAAGGAGTCTGACGAGTGGCAATGCGGGGGAGACAGAAAGAGGAGCACCGTTTCCACGGAGGAAGGGTGAACAAGAAGTCAATTGCATGTTTCACTCTCACATCTCCGTGGCTATAGCCTACTTCTGCCAGATCTTCAGTTCCGTTTCTTTAGTCTAATAGGGCCTTCGTCCTCTTCTGCAAGCCGCAGCACAGCAAACACACCTCAACCTCTAGTGACACAGACACGAGGCATGCTCGGAAAGCGACTGCACTCGAAAGTTCACAGAGCAAGCGCCACGATCGAGGCTTCCGTGTTCCTTCCTTTTCCCAGCTGGAGCTTTCCAGCAGCAGAGGAAGCCCTAAACATGCCAACAGACCTTCTGTGCCTGCCGTGTCCTTATTTTGCAGAAGGTTCATCGTCCTGGGAAAAGCCACACATTGCACATATGAATCGCAAATACAGCATATCACGAAGGCGCACGCGCACAAGCCTGCACAGTGAAGTATGCCAGACGGCACGTTTCGGAAACCAGTGCGGCGTTGCCATCCGAAACAGCATGCCTCGGAGGCTTGTCCACGCGAAGCCTAAATACACCGAGGTATACTCGCAAAGGAAGCAGACAGAGCTCTGCAATCTACATTCCTCAGCGCTTACCAGTTGAACACTGCAGCAAATGCCACGGTAACTGCCAGAAAGCCGAGGAGAAGATTGAACGTCAAAGCGTCGCCATGCGCCATGTAGAGCATGAAGAGCGAAAGACAGAAAAGAGCGAGGGTGCTCATGTTTACTACCCGAAGTACCTTCTCCCTATTCGCCCCAAACGCCATATCCAGAGCTTCATTGAAGCTTAAGGGGCCCTCAGCCTCAGGGGGTCCTTGAGCTCCTCCTTCCTCCCCCCCTTCCCCCCTGGGCTGCATTTCCATTGTGCGGTGAGCCAACACAGCTGGATTCAAAGACACATGCGTTGGCGCTGCGGCGACAGAAGGCAGAAGCCTCCAGGTAGGCCTTTTTGAGTGCTCTGGAGCAAAAGCGATCTGGCCAGCAGGGGGCCTTATGTATATGCAGTTATAGGGAGACCTAGCGACAGACAGCAGCAAAGCTCAGTCCATTCACAAGTCCTTTAAAAATTCACCAGGATACGAAAAGACTAAAAACACAGCTGCACGGTTTCGGACTGCACAAGCAGTTTCTGAGCACGCTGTGGCGGGCGGGGGGCCCCATGGTAAGGGCCCCTGTTCACCCCAGGCTTCCAGAGGCCCATTTTCATGAGGATGGCTTTGCCTTTTTTGAAGCCAGAACAAATTGTTATTTCAGTAAAATATTCGTGAGTGTTTTAGGTGCGGCGTCCAACGAGTTATTGGCTACTCCCCACTGTTTTTTTTCTCGCGTCGAGTTGGGCTGAGAGGGAGAGCCTCGAAGCTTCCAGTTTCTTGTTTCGTCCCGCTTTTCCTCCACCACCAAACGCTGTGCATTTCGTGCAAAAATATTTCAAGCGTTCCCGAGCTCCCCGTTTAAAATGTCGCTAGACGATGTTGTACACCCCCAGTTCACTTTCCTGTTGATTCCCCAGGATATCGACAGTCCAGTGCAAGAGCTGCAATTCAAGGGCAGAGAGGAAGACTTCAGAGAGCAGCTTAAAACCCATCTAAATCGGGAGAAAATCAACTGCCTGAATCAGCAACGCTTCAAAGAGTTCAAGCAAGGGCTCAAAGAGAAATCTGAGGGGAAGATTGGCGATGAAGGACTCGAGAGAATGGTGCAAGGCACTTCACAGAATTACCAGGTACTCATCATGACCAGTGGCCTCCCTTCCCGAGCCTCGGTTCAGCCTGCGGGTATTTCTGTTGCCGCGCAGGAGTGTCGCGGTGCCCTCAAGTGTACTTCGTTGCACCCCCCAGTCCGTAGAACGGGAGGACCCCAGTGTGCAATATATCTAATGCATGTTCTACTGCTTTACCTGTATGACTTGTGGTTTGTTCAGATAATTCCGCTGACGCTGCCGACCAAAGCAAATGGTTTTAAGGGTATCAACGCGTATATCGACAGCGTAGGGCGCATTAAGGGCCTCCCAACAAATGCAAGAGCAACGCGCATCTGCTCCACAGGCATGGCAAGAGCCTAGATCACTTAGCACTTGATAATCTAGAGCGGCTGGTATATTCGGCTGTGATTGTCTGGCTCTTTTAATGTTTGGCCCGCTTAGAGGGGCAGTCGAACCGACAGGGGGAGACCCGACACCGAACACTGTATTTCTTGTGTGGAGAGTGCAGCAGCAGCGCGCAGCTGTTGCGCGTAGCAGTACAATATCTGTCACTGTGTAGGGGGAGGCAGGGAACAAACGCTGAACGAAATGGCACGCTCGTTTTTTGCGCATGTGCAGATATTCGGGGCGATTGTTTTCTGTCCTGTGTCTTTGACGATGAGGAAAATTTCCAGCGCGTGAACTGCGGAGAGAGCACCTTTCAAGAACTGATGCAAAATCCTCCAGATGCCAAGGGCAGGTAAGGGGCTATTGGCTTTGTGGGCACCTCAGTGTGGGCGCCCCTTTTCTAAAGCCACACCTGTATCGAGGTGTCTGATGCTGTGTCTACCGAATTCGTTTTCTTTCCTTCCTCACTGAATTCGGGATGAAGAAGCGCGTCTACCTTTGCACGCACGCTTCCCTCCAGCGAGGGTCAAGTTTGCGAGTGACCACGCACTTTTGCACGACCGGAGCTTCCTTTTGAATGACAGGAGTTGCCTAGAGATTCTGATGTACACCGGGCACTACCACTGCAGCTGCGCTATAGTTTTCCTTCTTGAAGGATAATTTCCCATTGACCTTCTACGGTTTGCGGTCAATTGCTGCAGATGGAGCGAAACTCAGGCGGCCATGCAACTCTTGCAGCAGACAGGGCAGGCAAAACTGGAAGGTAGGTGTAGCCTCTTTTTCACTTCCATTCTCCATGTTTGTGCCTCCTATCCTCGAGCCATTAAGTGCACCCTTCCACATGGCTGGTAATTGCCAGACTGAAGGCCGCAGAGGCTGGCAAAAATGCCACATCGGAGTCTTGTGTTCCGGCGTGTGCAGCTCCTTCAAAGCCCAAGTGCGAGAACTGTGGCAAGGAGGTGCGCCACACCGTGAAGGGGAATGCATAGGATTGTACCTGCAGCTCAGTGCTGGTCAAACTTTAAACAAATAACAGTGCAAACGCATAAAAATATATTGGGAACCCCTCGCACGGTCTCTCTCCGTCCGACCCTAGCCATGTACTTGCCCGCGTAGCCGTATCTTAGCTGCATGCAGAAGCGGCGCCACTTCCTTCCCCCAGATGCTTCTCGTCCTTCTTTTCTTCAGCCTTTATTTGCCTGCGCAATTTCTCATAAACGGAAGGGAGGAGGAAATCCCACCTTCCATCTTACCTTCCTTCACAGGGTTAGGAGGTTCAATGCGTTGTGCTGCTCTGTGTGCGATGTACTGTGCAAAACTGCCCCCGTTGAGCATGTGTCCTCGTTACGGCTATGCCAGAGGTCCAGTTCAACTTTGGTGAACTGCTCTACGGGCGCCGCGAAAATTAAGGCGATTATTTTCCCAAGGCGTTCGTCTTGCATGTTGTGCTTTCAGGAGGGGCCTTTAAAGCGGTGCGGACGTTGTGGAAAGAGCTGCTATTGCAGCACCGAATGCCAGAGGGAGGACTGGCCTCTGCACAAGCGAACTTGCTGCCCCAAACCTAAGTAGCGGCGGCAAAGAGCGATGCATATTCTCCACTTCAAAGAGTCGGAGGAATGCCAAATCTCGCACAAACGCCGTTTCCTTTAAATAATTTTGATCCTCAGTATTGGGCACCCCTAACTGGCCTTTGACTGCTGTCAGTATTTTGCGATGCTGCCCTGAGTGGTGCTGCTATCGCCTTTCGGGGCTAAGGGTGTCTGCACGGGAGACACGTGGTGTGTATGCGTGCGCGCACGCCTTAAAAGGGGGAAGCGTCAGCGCAGTATAAACTGGGGGGGCTCGCTTCCCAGGAACGAAGGTCGCCTTGTTGCTGCTTGCTGATGCCAATGGATACGCCAAAATCCACAGCTTTAGTTGGTGGAGGCGGAGGCCATCGCTGCTTGTTGTTGCAAACTTGCAGGCGCACTTACACTGCACAAGCGTCCATCACGCCAGCATATCAGAAACAGCATACATATATATATATAAATATACATAAGTACATGCTCAAGAGCGCTGTACTAAGCATCCCCTTGAAACCCGTTGGTAAAAGCGTCTCTGGTGAAAGAACGCGTTCGGGACCCTCAACTCTTAGAGTCTTACGGCTCCCCAACGACACATACCTCCCACCCTCCCACCCCAAAACAACCCCGCGCAGAACCAATGCGCTCAGATTCATGTTACGACGCTTGTCTGCACCCTGCGCTGTGCACCGCTGGCGGCAAGAGGTGCTGCATTTTTTTCTCGTTCTTTCCGTGCGAGTGCCCTTCCCATGGCCCTTTCGGTTGGAAGCCGCAAAAGAGGGGATTTAAGGGGTTAGAGTGCCGACCACATTCCGTTCCTGCTGCCCTGCGCCTTCGAAACGCCTAAAGAGCATTTCCAAGCATCTTACCCTAGGATTTTTTGAATCTGGGCCTTAAAGACCAGCATGCTGGCGGTGAAGACGGCGTAGGTATTGCACATGGAAGGCAGCTGAGGGGACCCCTGACCAGGAGCTGCGCCCTCCGGATTCAGAAGGGCTCCCTCCTCATGTGGTCTGGTGTACTTGAACATTGAAAATGGAAACACCATGGGAAACGGGAGGTAGGCCCCTGGGGCCCCCTCAAAGAAGGAGTGAATTAAGGGCATGCCCAGGACAAAGACGACCGCAACGCAAATTGAACCCTTCTGCTTAAGCGCATTTAGAGACCTGCATCAGGGAACGGAGAGATTGAGCGTGTGTGTAAGTGTGTAGGAGATCAACGCCATGGACAGAGCCTCCTAGCGCCCCAAAGCATGGAGCACGCCAGGGGGGTAGTGAACAGCCAGCAAGGGGAATTCGCCAGAAAAAAAAGACGCCAGGGAGCGCCGCTAAGGACAAAAAACACTCTAGAGGAGGCTACACTGCGCAGGTGTACTTGGTCTTTTTGTGAATCTTGGCTTGCAGGGCTGCAGCCGCACGACCAGTACGCCCTAGGTAGCGCCCGTCGGGGCCCCCCACGCACTCCGCCTCGAGAGCTGTGATGTTGGAAGAGAGGCGCAAAAAGCATTTGACGAGAGCATGAAAGCTTGTAAGGGGCGCAGCGCTACGTGGGCAGCAGCAACAACAACGGACGCCGAACTGGAGCAAAAACCTGGCCAGAGATCTGACAGAGCTCTACAGCCAACAAGGAAGAGTAGCGTTCTACGCACATGGCGCGCACATGCTTCGCCGAGGCACGTAGCTGCCTAGACACCAACAGCACTCACTGCAGCGGTGGTAACTGCAGCAGCAAGAGGGTAGCGACAGAGGCAGCGGCAAAAAAGCAACTACATCTAGCTGGGTGTGTGTTTTCATACCCAAATACTCCCTCCAGAGTTTGTTGGTTTCAGATTGAAGCCTTTTGAACTCGGTCTTGGAGTACACGAAAATGTAGCACAGAGCCTCCCCAAGCAGGCCCATGAGACAGCCAGCGCAAACCAGCAGCACTGTCACGTGAGGATCGACGGCAGGACCCTCCATCTGCTGCAGATGGGTTGCAGAAAATGAGCAGGTGGGATGACGCCGGTAAAACAGGTGAAACAGTCAAGCGGGCGTCGGAGAGGGCGCCACACGGAGAAGACACGGGGGCTGGCCCCAAGATACAAAGTAGTGCACGAAGAGAAGAAATACACGGAAACTGCTGTGCCTGCTGACGAATTTTACATGTGTGCGTCGGTATGGACCTGCCGCCCCGGGATTCGTACGAAAGTCCTAACTAGCAGCTGCAGGGAAACTCTGGTGTACAGACACCGCGCGCACCCAGCGAACAGCAGCAGCGCCAAAGGCCAAAAAGAATGAAGGGCATGCTTCAAGTACCAGTTTAACGGACAATCTCGGCAAATCAAGCCACTGCAACCAGCAGCGAAGGCAGCAAATCGCCTGCAGTCGACACTTCCCAGCCCCAGCAGCCGCTGCCGTTGCAAAGAACCCATCCGCAGATAGGGCCCCTCAGGGCCCGACGTGGCTCTGCCTCGCTGCTTCTCTGCGTTTAAACATTATTTTTCATAGAGAAGCAAATCAAGAACGGTCTGGCCCCCCCCTCGCTACTGGTCGCCGCTGGTGCCGCTCTTTCTCGACCTCTCAGGCCCTCACAAGCATCGGTAGGCGCAGCTGCCACTGAGGCAGTAGCCGCAGCAGCAGCACGCACGGGGGCGTTTGCAGCAGTATCAGCAGCTGCATTCGCATTGGCATCATCAGCGCTGCTGGCGGTAGGAAGGCCTGCAGCAGCACACAACGAGAGCATTCGCGGTACGATCGCCGCCAGCAGTAGAAATGGCGCTGGTTGCCGGCTTTAGAGGAGCAGAAGACTCTGCCGCTATCACGCCTGCTGCAAAACTCGAGAGTGACGTACGTGATGCTTGGTCCCTTAGGAAGCTGTCAGGGGCGAGCACTCCCAGCCACGTTGCCCCTCAAAAGTATCCGTGAGAGGTACAGTGTATGCGCATGCAACCCCAGACGGGAGTCGAACGCTTCAGGTTCGAGCTTGTAAGTTGTGTTTGGTGCAGAACATTGAAAGGACCTCCGGCCTTGACGCCCCCACGCTCCGCTTGACGGGGCACTCGGTAAGTGGCAGGCAACTGCGTTTCGCTGGTTTCAGCAACAGGAGGTGGCGAAAGAGGTGCCGCATCAGCTTGTTGCATCTGTTCCATATTTGTGTGTCTTGGTGTTGTGGCTGCCAAGCGCATCAATGCTGTTTTTAAGAGAGAGAGAGAGAGAGAGAGAGAGAGAGAGAGAGAGAGAGAGAGAGAGAGAGAGAGAGAGACTATTAACTCTAGCGCCGCCTCATAAATTGCCTCGTGCGCTCCTCACCTCGAACTCTGCGCTTGTGTGTGCCACTGTTGCTGCTGCTGTTGCTGATGCAGGGAGAGCTCTATGCGGTTCGCTTTTCTGTCGATGGGAGGAACGTGGCGACGGCGGGAGCGGACCGAAGTGTTTGTAAGTAGGGGGTGTGCCATTCTTCCCTTTTTCTTTCGGGGAGGGAGGGGGAAGAGGCAGGGGTCGGAGAGAAGAGCTTTTGCCGCTGATTTCTGCTTCGATCTGCATCGGTGTCTCCGCTCGATCCTTCTTATGCGTTGCTTCTTTCGCTGTGTTCACATGTAGTCTTCTTCACCTGTTGAATTCGATGGCCGCGTGCCCTCCTTGCCAGTGCCGTGCTTCGTCCGTCTTTCGGTGTGGTGGCGTTGCTCGCGTGTGTGTGTGCGTGTGAGTTTAAGTCTGCAAGGCGCTTGCCTACTCACCTCTGGTGTTGCTTTCCGCTTCAGTAGTGTACAACGTGTACGGGGAATGCCGAAGCTGGCTGGAGTTGAAAGGCCACAAGAATGCAATCCTCGATCTCGCGTGGAGTGACGATGGAACGTGAGCGCAGTCTTTCTCAATTTGCGCATTTTCCCGTAGTTTCAGCGCCCTCTAAATAGTGTAGAGCTTTTTTAACACCTCGGGAGGAGCCGGAATTGTGTGAAGGAGTGGGCAGTGTTTGAAGAGACGCGTCTTGTTTTGATGCATGCTGGTTCCCCGACGCGCGGGCTAAAGGCCTTAAGGCAAGGCAAGGCAAGGTGCCGTCTTCAGACTTTTGAGGCTGCGGCTTCAGCGGCGGGCTGCCGTAGCAGAGTGCCATGTGAAGGAAGCACAGGGCATAAATGTATACATACAGATAGGAAAATGACGCATGCGCGCGTCCATCACCGCTCCCTTTTGGCTGCGTTCGCCTTGTCTTGTTTGGTTCGCTGTGGCGTGCCGCACAGGCGGCTGTACACGGCGAGCGCAGACGAGAGCCTAGCCATTTGGGATGTGGAAACGGGAGTGCGTGTCAAGAAGCTCAAGGGGCACCTGTCGATCGTGAATGCAGTCTCCGTCTTTGGCGCGCGGACTGTCTCGCCAGTTCCCGTGTATGGCCATGCTGCGGCTGCGGCTGCCGCTGCTGAGGCAATGCCTGGCTCTGCGGGAACCGCGGGTAAAGTGCCAGCGCTGATGGAGTTTGCGCCTGCCGAGTCCGAGCAAGCAACCAGCACGGCGAACAAAAATGCGAACAACGGCGTCAAGAGTCACCTCTTTTCAACCGGCTCGAGTAGCTACAGCACCAAGTTCCTGCTCGCCTCCGGCGGAGATGACGGTACTTCGCGGGTGTGGGATCTTCGAACCCGCAAGTGTGTGCTGAAGGCGCAGCACCACTATCAAGTGAGCTTTGGAAAGTTTTCTGCAGCTTTCGAGCGAGGAGCCTCGGTCGCTACGGAGCAGTAGGCTTCCTGCGCCTCCTGGTGCCTGTGTTTTTCGAAATCCTTGAACGCCTTTGGGCAACCGACGAGCCTTTTTAGGCCGAACAAGGCAGCACAAGCTGCGGCTCCGGATCGGATGCCTCTTCGTGTTTGCAGATCCTCTCCGTCGCCTTGGATGGCGTGGGCTGCAGGGTGTTTGCAGGCTCCCTCGACAACACTATCCGGGTGGGTTGCTGGGTGCATGTGCAGCGTCTGGGGAGGTCTTTGGGCATGCAGGGTTCAGCGATTTCGGAGGATGCCTGCTAAGGCTTCTTCTTGGTTGGGGGCTTGTAGAAAGGCGCAACAAGAGGCGCCAGCTGCCGGACCGCTTCGGCGCAGGAGCTCAAGATTTCAGGCACACGAGCCGCTGACGCTTCCGCAAGAGCTCTGTGCGGGTTGCTTGCTGCAGGAGTATGATCTTCGGGGGGGCATGAGGGAAGCTTCCGTCCTGGAGGGCCATCAGGATTCCATCACGGGGCTGGACGTACACCCGGAAGGCACGCACCTTCTCAGCAACGGGATGGATCATTCTGTAAGGCTCGGTTTCGAGAGCGTGCATGTGCACCACTTTTCCCGTGCCCCCTGCTGCTTCCATGAAACTCGGCTTCCTTGCCCTTTTTTGCTGATTCGCAGGTGCGACTGTGGGATATCCAACCCTTTTTGGCAGGCCAAAAGCGGCAGAAGGCAGTGCTGCGGGGTGCCTTGGTATGTCTTCCGTTGTCGCGTCCTCTGTGGCGCATTCCCCGGAGTGTCTCGCTCCTGCACTTCCTCGCTTGTTGCCTTGCGGGAAAGACGCTGCGTTCGCCTTGGATCATGAGGGCGTTGCGACTGCTGGCTGACCTGACCACGTCTTTGTTTGCTGCAGCACAACTTTGAGAAGCAACTGCTGCGCGTCCACTTCAGTTGTGACGGCTGCTATGCGGTTGCGGGCTCCTCTGACCGGAACGTGTGCATCTGGGATCTGGAGACAATCCCTCCAAAGGAGCAAGGAGGAGACAGCACACGCAACCTTGTCTACAGGCTCCCTGGACACACGGGCTCCGTTAATGACGTAGGGCACTTGCGACTGGCGCGTTGATCTGCAGCTGTGCTACCGTTCTTCGAGTGCCTACCGGTGCTGCAGCTCCTCTTTAGGCTCGAGTTTTTCGTTACCAGGTTCTTCTTTGCACCGCCTTTCGCGCGTTGTGCTGCAGGCCAGCCTCCACCCCCTTGAGCCAATAGTCGCCTCCGTGAGCTCGGACAAGACCTGTCTGATGGGAGAACTCTCGTGATCATATTGTGTCTGTAAATATGTATGCGTGTACGTACGAGCGCGTGTGTTTGCTGTTCGCACGCTCGAAATCGGAAATGAGGGGGAATGACAAACGTCTGGCAGTTTTCTACCCACCCACCCCCGTCGCCGTTCCCGACGGCCCACACAACGCCCCAGCTGTTTACGTGCATAGCTTATCACGTCTCCCGCTGCTTTATCATGACGTGGCTACAATCGCGTATGTGTGTCTCGTCCCTCGCGCTGTATGGCCCGTCCTTTGCACGAGCCACATCGGCCTCTAGTGTCGTCGCTGATCCTTGCCTGTTTTTGCCTCCCGCCCTTCGCCCGTGCCCTCTGATTGCACCTGTGGCGCCTGCGACCACCACAGATGGGCACAAGAAGCGTGTTTTCGCTCGGGGTGCGGCTGTTGCTTCCGAATCCCAGCGGCAACAGCAGGAGCAACGCCACCCAGAGAGACTTTTTCGGAGAACGCGTTTGTCGCTTCACGCGTAACAGGCTCCTCCCATGTGCAGCAGCAGTCAGTGGCTGCGGCTCTAGTGCATGGCTGTGCTACCTTTCTGCGTAGGAAAAGGTGTCCGCGTCTGCTATTTTGCTTGCCCAGCAGCGGCTCTTGCATTGGGGCGCTGCTCTGTGCACTCTACATGCCCCACAGAGGCACGAGAAGTGCACCCCGCAGGGGAGGCACGCACACACTCAGGCTGCTAGCAGAGAGCGAGGCGCTGACTCTCTACTTTTCTCGAAGCAGAAGCGGCAGCCCGAGGAGCAGCTGCCCAGGGAGAGAGTGGTGGCAGGCCGAAAGTTGGCGAGAGCATCGACTAAGTGGATGGAAACAGCGCACACACGTACACCCTGCTCCCCCTATTACTACTATAGCTGCTTAGCTGCTTTGGATATCTCGTGGCCGTCCAGCTCAAATACAACCTAAGCGCTCCTCCGACAGCAGCACTGAAAGACCTAGCCAAACAGATAGGCGCCGAACCCTGAATACGCGCGGTCGAAAGGCTTTGTGCTTTTTCAAAAGTATGTTAGGGGCCTCCGGTTAGGGCCTCGTCCGTGATCTTTCTCCTCTTGAGGATGCTATCCTGCTGTCAAGTCAGCTTCCGTTCTCGTGGTGTCTCTGCACCTTTCCTCTCACGCTCATTCTGCCGACCTGTTGCACTAGGTGCGCCCATACCTACCCACCTCGCCCCATTCCACCGTGCACTCCCGCGTCTTGGTGTTTTCTCAGTTTCACTGCTAATCAGCTACTGCAGGCCTTCAGCTTTCTCTGTGCTGGCTGTGCTTTGAGGCTTCTCTCAAGGCAAGCACACTAGACCTTATCGCTCTGCTCTGCGAGCGAGCGCTCGCTCTTTAGGCCCTTTTCAGGCTTTGAAAAGTTCCGTTTTTCAGCTCCCACCATCAGAAAACAGCTGCTCTATAGCCTCACTAATGGCAGCGGTGGCAAAACTGCACAAAACGTTTTTCACGCGGCTCAGTTGGGTAGGCAAATTGCACCCATGAGAAGACGGTTGCGAATCCTCCGCTTTGGGGGCTTCGTCCTTGAGAATTCCCGAAGGGCTGCTAGGAAAGGCAGTGACTGTCTGCTGTGGGCACTCCCAAATTTTCGCTGAAACAAATAAAGCTGTTACAGCTCACGAAATCAGTCCTGTGGAAGAGCCGCTGATCCTCTCCGGTGCTAGTGGTGCTGCTGGTAATTCGCGTGGTTCAGTCTGCCCTGGGCAGTTGTAACCTCCTAAACCTTTGCGGCTGATTTATTATCCGCCTGAAGCGGCAACTCTTGCCCCTCAATGGCAGCTTGCAAAATAGGAGTCCGTTCCTGTAGTCAGGCTGCTGCTGCTGCTTCGCTGTATTCTGCTGAAGCAGCCGCCGCTCCCTGGAAGATTGCCGCTGCAGCTCCCGCAGCTCCTCATCAAGCTCCTTCTCTTCAGCTTGCTGTTGGGGACGTGGCTGCCGCTTCTGCGGCTTGTGCCTGCGCCTCCTTTGCTTACTCCTGCTAGGACCCTGGTTGCTGCAAGCAGCGGCCTCTAAGGACCCCCGTCCTGCGGCAAGCCTGGGTGCGCTATCTACGAAGGTTTCGCGAAAGGCCTCCGTCTTTGTTCCTGCGTCTTTGTCTCCTGTGCTGGCAGGCGCGAGAGTCTGGAGGGCGTCTGCTGTCTTGGCAGAAGATGGCATCGTGGGGGAGCTGCGAATAGAACCTTGACAACACGGGAAGCCAGCACGGAGGATCACAAGCCAATGGGCTGCTTCACGCTCGAAATGAATATAGTTTCTCTGATTCGGGCAAATGACACGCGCACACCGGTGCAAGAGCAACGCCCATGGCAACAACCGGCGATTCGTATTCGGGCATTGGTCCCGGATGGACGCAGCAACTGTCTCTATCACCACTTTTCTGCTCGAACTTCGTCTCCTATAATAATGCTATTATAATCCTCGGGCCTATATACACAGGAAAATCCGAAGTCTGGACAAAATTACACCCTCCTTACAGGCTGTTACCTGCCTGCGCATAACCAGTGGTCCACCGCGTACCACTCTCAGCACGAACGAGCGACACCTGAGTGGCACAAGGCAAAGCCCCCCAAAGCAACGCTCTATACAGGCATGTACTCCTTTATAAGATGTACTATTTAGCCAATAAAAATAGATGAATCCAACTCCTCGCTTTGGCGACCGCTGTTGCCAGTTGTATGCACTAACTCCCGCACTTTTTCGTTTCGCTTCTCGCATGGATCCGCTTCCGCTGCCCTTGGCCCTCCCGCTAACCGCCCCCTACAAACCCATGACATTCTCTTGTATTTTCCTGCTTCTGCCCTTTGCCAACGTCGCGCGCCCGCGTTATCCTCGATGCCTCACTTACGTGCTCTGTATGTGTGTACATCATTGAGGAAATGCCTGATTAACTGGCACGTCCCTTCCGTTTGTAGAGCACGCGAAGCTAGCCTCGACGCTTTCTACTGCACCAGTTATATTTAAATGCGAAGTAACTAAGAAATAAATTAGTTCTTTCTCTGTTGGTACATCAAATATATTGAGCAGTTTACAAATACCCACCTGGAGGACGCAAGACTGTGCATGCGCGCTGTGTGTTATGTACAATTAGCTTTGAATACTCGGGGCGTTTGAAGGAACAAGCTACGCGTTCCATAAACCTCTTTCTCCCCTCGTGTAGGGAGCTTTAGGGGAGTGCGTAGGGGAAGCCAGGGCTTGTTTTGAGAAACACTCAATAACTCTCTCCCTGGTTCATTGAATCTGGAGTCAAGTGTCTCCCTACGGAGACCTTATATGGAGCTTTCTACCTTATCAACATATATACACACATATGTAGATATATGCTTTCTAAAACCTTTGCCTCTGTAAAAGATTCCTTCCAACCTACTCTCTTCGGCAGTCTGCACCTCTCGCTTTAATTGGATCCCTCCGTTTCATCTCTCCCGGTTGTGCAGTAACTTCCTTGTGGTTCCTGGCCTACAGGGGACCTTAGAGTGTCACTTTCTCTTGTCACTTGTCATGTTCGATTCCCGTGTGTTGGGTCGGATGCGCGTCCGATTTTGTCGTGCCATCTCCTGCAACCAGAAGACGGCTGTCAAGATGAACAAGTGCCCAAAGATTTTATCAACCTGCTGGAAAAGTAGATTACCTCGCTTTGTACCCAAACTATGAGGTCATGAAGAAAAATGAGTATAGCTTCAGGCATTTTAATCGGACAAAGCAGCATTTCAGTAGTCTCCAATCATGGAAAGGAAGTCCCCTGTCTGCACGGTTTACTACAGTTCTAGTCTTCATTCAAGTCTTGACATCAATCTATGCTGAGATCCTCTCCACAGCACACTTTAACAGAATTGAGAAAACCTTGGCAGGGAGATCTATCAAGAAATGTACATACCAGGATACATGAAGTCTCGATTTGCAAAAGGCCACAACGTAGACATACAAATCCAGCCTCAGTGGTTTACGTCATATCTGCCTGTGCTCTCACATCAAGTGCTTGCACGATGGGCAACAGCTACGCAATTCAAAAGCCGAGCTATGGAATTTACACAATATAGACGCCTCGAACCATCAGGAGCTAATGATCGCAATTCCGGCGTCTTTGGCTGTGCAAAAAAGCGAAGCTCGGATTTATTGTAGAGCCTTTGATGTCGAGGCTGTATCACCTGGCTCTGATCTGCAGTCTGAAGAGGACGAGGAAAGACTGCTGGAAGGCATTCATGCACTTCAGCAGCCACAGACAGCCCGCCAATAACGTTCCTTCCACTATTGTGGAAGATGGGGTCATGAAATC